TCACGTTCATACCCCCAAACTGATTTTTCAAATGGCACTTTAAGTCAAATGCAAAATTTTAATACATACATATATATATATATATATATATATATATATATATATATATATATATACAAAGATCATGAAAATTATCCCACTCCAGTTTCATCAGAAATCACGTTCAGAGCCCCAAACTGGTTTTTCAAATGAATACATATTCGCAATCCACATGTCCCACACCTCGCTGCAGCGCGGCGGCGGCGGCGGCGGCGGCGGGCGCTCCTCTGGGCCAGCCCGGGCGGCTCCGGCGCGGTCCGGCGGGCGCTATTCTCGGGCCGCGGGCCGCTGCGCCGCCGCCTCACCCACTGCCTGCGGCGCCCCCAGGGGGCGGGCGGGCGGGCCCCGCCTCCGTCCTGCTCGCCCCCGCCTCTGCCTCGGTCTCCGCGCCGGGCCTCCTGGGCTGGGCGTGCTAGTCCGGGCCGCCCCGCAAGCCGCGCCCGCCGCTGCAGGTCGCTCGCTCGTTCGGGGGCCCTCAGCGCGGCGGGCCGGGGCCGCGGGGCCGCCCGCAGGCCGCTCGCTCGGGCCTCTACCCAATATTTAAAGAACAAATACAGTCTTTCTGAAACTCTTCCAAAATACTGAAGAGGTCCCAACATGCCCAGACTGGTTTGGGAGGTCAGTCTTACCCTGCTATCAAAGCCAGACAAGTTCATTACAAAATACAGGCAGATATTTCTGAGGAATAGATGCAAAATTCTCCAACAAAATACCAGCAAGTCAATTTCAACACCACAGCAACAAATCAAATGAGCTATCAAATTATGAAAAGAGGGCCGGGGATTTAGCTCAGTGGTTTCGCTGCCTGCTGCGCAAGCGCAAGGACCAGAGGAGTTCGATCCCCGGTACCAAAAAAACCCCAACAAATTATGAAAAGACAGAAAAATTTAAATACATACGATTAAGAAAAACAAAGACTGTAACTCCAAGCATGACATTCTTGAAATGCCAATGCTGTATGGACAGCGAAAAGATTAATGGCTGCCAGGAATTCCGGTGAGTTGAGAGAGAGGTGAATAGGTATAGCAGTGGGAATTTTTACAGCAGAGAAATTATTCTATGTGATACTAAATGCTGGATATATTACACACATTTATCAAAATCCTGCAGAAAATAGGAGTCCTATGGGCATTCATTAATACATCAATATCAGTTCATCAGTCATAACAAATGTACCACAGCAATGTCAAATGTTAGTATTAAAGGAAACTGTGTAGGGACAGTGGGTTCATAAAAGCTTAGAGTATTTCTGCTCCATTTTTCTGTAAATTTAAAACTTCTCTAAAAATAATCTATTAATTATTAAATGAAATACTATTATAAAATGTGTCAGAAAGAAGAGAAAGTGCAGGGCTGGGGATTTAGCTCAGTGGCACCGTGCCTGCCTCACAAGTGCAAGGTCCTGAGTTGGATCCCTGGTACTGCAAAAAAAAAAGAGAGTGCAATACAAAGATAAGGGATTTTTTTTTCCTTGACAGCTAGCCAAGCCATGGACTCTAATAAAATTCACAGAATGGAAAGAGTGAATTAGGCCAGGAGTATAACAGAGGAGGTTCTTTTAAGGTGAAAAGAGATAATCAAGGGCTGGGGATCTAGCTCAGTGGTTCCACTGCCTGCCTCGTAGGCGCAAGGTCCCAAGTTTGATCCCCAGTACCAAAAAAAAACAAAAAACAAAAAGAGATAATCAAGTAAAACAGCTATACTGAGAGAAACTATGTGTATATTAATGAAGCCCAGAGACTGAAACAACAGCCATGGGAAAAGGTACTAAGAAATTTGTAAGGGGGTTTCCTCCATATAGTGCAATGTAACCGTGCCTTCTGCTTTCCTCAAAAACCAGGAGAAAATTTTCTACTACATTTGATCTTTTTGAACTTTGGTTTTGTAGTTGGAACAAGTGTTTCACTGGTCTATAATTGGTCATAGAGATTTCTGTTTGCATCCAAGACAGGCTATCAGGAACCAGAATTATCCTTCCACCTTAAACCCCTTAGAAAATAAGTGAAAATATGTAAAAGAGCAGTATTCAGAAACTGGAAAACACTAGCTATAAAACAGAAGGAAAACAAAGAAGGCTCAAATGATGACACTCACTGACTGGAATTTGTAGGTCACATTATAAAAACAGGAACCCAAACAAAGACCTTGCTGGTCATTCAGGAGACAAAGTTCGTGTTGGGAAAGACAAGGCAGCTAAAATTCATGGGGCACAGGACAGGAGAAAGGCAATCTCACAAGTAGGAGGGGGATAGATCTCCATACATGATCAGAGGTCACCCTGATTACAGACAGGCTTTCACTGTCCTCTCTGAAGTCCTGGATTCCTTTTCACCCCACATAGCTGACCAGAGAGCCCTTAGGTCAGAAGCATCCACAGAATTTGGAAATTCAAAGTTCAAGGTGAAAGAGGGAGCATTTGCCAACAACTTAATCCAACCTAATCCTATTTTATAGTTCTAACCTGTATTCCATTATCAGTGTTTGGAAACTATCTCCAATATGAAGACATAATGTAGTTTTTCCTTTCTTTAGACAAGTAGCCAGAAACTTTTCACACAAGTTCTAGCTGCTCTTTACATGTAACGAAATGACAAGTATTCAGGGCAGTCAAAGAACTAGATCTAATTGATGTATAATTGCTAGTAACAAAATCTACAAACTCGTAAGTCATCATTGTGCCACCTCAAAGCCCTGCAAACATTTAAGTGGCAAATTATAATCCCAATTCAAAACCTCTGTTCCAAGCACTAGTACAGCACTCTTGAAAATTCAGTCTAGTTTTGGTAACCTGTAGCCTTAACTAGGAACTTCAGTAGTAGTTTGGCAGAGGAACAACTGTATGTCTCCTAACTCCAGAGAATCTGTGTTGTTACTCTAATAATTATTACTTTAAATTATAGAAAGTAATGTACTCAACAGAGGTTATTAAGACAATGACATTTAAATGAATGGAAACTTACACAATTCAACTGAAGAAACATCCAAAGAGTCTTTGGCAGGGGGAATGAATTCTGAAATATTTAAAAGTATATCCCACTTCAAGTAGCAATTATATGTACTAGTTGTGTTTAGTTGTTAGTTTTTATTTTAGTAATTCAAGTGATAGAAAAAATAAAACCTGCCAATACAGTGGATCTTCCCAATCAAGCGATAAATGTGAAGACCCAAAAAAAGTATGTGGCAAGTGATTATGATCTCATCTTCTCATCAAATCTTGTCTTCCCTCTAATATTCATTTCTATTCATTGATAATACCTTTCCTTTCACTTTCACTAGATGTTGTGTATTATACCAATTAAATATTTCTCAAACCTGTCCTTTTCTTCTTTTGTACTAGTAGTCTAATATGGGCATTTATCATATCCAATAAACAATGAAAACTTCCCTTACCTTCTCCCAGTACCCAAATCTATCTTCCACAATGTGTCTAAAATACTTTCTCTAAAAATAAATGTAACACTGTAACTTCCCTAAGGAAAACCTTCATCTATTTGTAATTACACCTGAAAAAGTCCAACTGCATTATCCCTATCACTTGTACTCTAACACCGGTGCAGCTGTCGTTCTCTGGTCACAACATTATCTTCCTAAAATGCTAAATATTTTCCTCCTTCATTGCCTAAAATCTATTCATCCTTTAAGGCTGCATAAAATCTAAATCATTCAGGTTGAACAAATTACTCCTGTCTGTAAAGTGTGTACCTGTGTGACTGCTTGTGACTCAGGCAGGCCCCTGCCACTGCAGAACTCCAGGGCCAAAGGGCTGGGAGATCCTGAAGGGGGCAGGGCCAGTAGGGGTCTAAGGAGCATCAGGGCAGGTGAGGGACCCGGAGAGGGAGGAGGGAGAGAGAAGGTGCAGAGGGGAGGGAGGGCGGGGCTGGGTAGAAGAAGGCCGGGGAAGGGGAGGGAGAAGAAAGCAGGGAGGGGAAGGAAGGGAAGGGGCCGGGAAGGTGCCCTGGGGCGGGGTGCAGGACCCAGCTGGATTAAGAGTCGGGCAGGAGGCGGCAGGGTCCAGGGGGATGAAGCGGGTGCGAGGACGCAGACCCTCGGGCCCCAGCCCCCGGGGACCATCCTCGGGGTGCGGTGGAGCCCTGCAGGCCGCTCTTTCTTCGGCTTCGCACACCCAGTCTACCCAGCAGGCAGTGCGAGGCACGTGGCTGCCCGCGCATGCGCCTGGGGACTTGGGCGCACCATGGGGAAGGGGCGTGGCCGCGGTCGGACAGGCTCGTGTTCAGGTCACGCCTTGGCTGGATCAGCTTCCCTGAGGCAGAGTACCGGAAGCCAGTCACGAGTGCAGGCCTAGGGAGTGGAGGCTGAGCCAGGTTCCAGGAGTGGGAGGAAGGCGGCTGCATCAGGGAACAAGCTATCTCAAAAGGCTGTGGCCCGTCGTCATCGTCCTAGTCTTGTCGTCCCTGTACCGTCCCGAGTATCCCAGTCCTGCCCCTCCAAGGTCCCTCCCCTTCTGCCCTGGTGACCCCAGTTCCCGTGGCATAGGAGCGGGCGGTCATGCACCTCACTAATGCTTAGCAGACCGGGAGGAAGGACTGGAGCTGTGTTCCCATTCCACAGGTAAGGAGCCTCAACCTTCCTGCAAAGTGTTCCCACTCCAAGCCTCAACTCTCCTCCAAAGAGACGGTGCCTGCCGGAGTGGGTTGGGGCCTGAGGGACTGCTGCCTTCACACCCGGCTTCATCCCCCGGGGCCCTGCTGCTGCCCCCCTCCAGCTCCCTGGATCTGGCTGGACCCCTGCCCCCATCCTGTGACATGGGCCAACAGAGATCCCCTCTCCCTGCCAATCCCTTTTCCCCTCCCTGGCTGGTACACCTTGCCCCTTCCCCTTTTCAGACCCTCTCCCTCTCTTCCCCTTCCCCCCTCCTTGTTCCACCCATCCCCCTCACTCTTTTCCCCTTCTCTCTCCTAATCCTCCCCTCCCCTTCCCCTGACACCTGGTCCCCTTTCTTTTTTTTTAATTTACATGAACACATTTATTGCAAGTAGCTCTATGGAAAAGCTATATATATATATATATATAATATAAACACTATACAGAGTTGCAAGTTTGTTTCATCTGCAAACGAGATGTTTACGAGGAATACAAGAGTATTTACAAAGGAAGACAAAGCAAGAGCAACTCAAACCAGAACTGTGAAGCAGAAATAGCAAATGTAATGAGCTGTTGCAACTGTAAAGTTTTAGTTTTTACCGACCTAGTGACTATGTATGACACCAAATTAATGTAGAGGTCACAAAAAAAAAAAATCTTTCCATCATAAGTTTTTCTTAACAGCAGCATAAACTGATAACTGGAAGGTAAGTGATACATTGGTACATATCCTTCCAGCACAATACTGAATAAATTATATCTGTAAACTAAGGAGTAATGTCAGAGAGATTGCATATTTGTAATGCTGTACCTGCAACTTTTGTACCTGTTACTATTTGTATGTACTGTTGTGTATAAGGTTTCCATTTGTTTATTCAGCAAGTGTTACTTCTGTGCTATACCCTCTGTACTGTCTGCTGGGAGTCCCTAAACCTAATCTGTGAATAGCATTTTCCTCCAAATAATCTTATCCTCCCAACATTCTGAATAATTATGACTTAACCCTCTCCTAGGACCTGTTCTGGCCCAACCCTTCCCATGGCCTGCCCAACCTTCTCCTCCTTGTGACTGGTGACCTGCTTTGATGGGAGCCTATGTACCTGAGGTGGGTTCACCCAGTTACTTGCCTGGGTGTTTCTGCAGTCTGCAGACTATAATGAAGTAGTGCAATCTAGCGTCCCTACTAGGGGTAAGAAGCATCAGGTTGCAGCCTTGGCCCTCATCCTCAGAACCAACTCCTGGGTAGGTTGGTTCCTGAGGACCCACTGCCTTCAGAACTCCAGGTTACCATCCTCCAAGACTCTAGATCTCTGTCATCTAGCATGTCAGGCCTTTACCTGAGACATCCAGCCACCGCCCTCCAGGATTCCTCTACACATTGTTGGCCCAAATTCTGGGTTTAATCAGTTGGTTTTTGGTCATGGACCTCAGAGATGCCTTCTATATCACCCTGGCACCTGAAAGCCAAGATCTTTTTGCCTTTGAGAATCCCCTCACAGGAATAGGACAATTGAGGAGCCGGGGATTTAGCTTAGTGGTTCTGCCGCCTGCCTCACAAGCGCAAGGACCCAAGTTCAGTTCCCAGAACCAAAAAAAAAAAAGTGGTCTTCTTAAGGAATAGGACAATTGACTTGCACATGTCTTCCTCGAGGTTTTTGTGATAGTCCTCACCCCTTTGGCGTGGCCTTAGCCCAAGATCTCCTGGACTGAAAGGAGAAAAAAATTACCCTCCTCCAATATGTAGATGACCTGATGCTTTGTGGGGAGACTAAAGATGCAATGCATAGGGGCACTGTGTCCCTCCTCACCTGACCTTCCAGGGCTAGAAGAAATCCCATGAAAAGGCCCAGATCTGTCAGGTTCAAGTTACTTACTTGGGTTTACTTATCTCACATGGGGGAAGTACTATTAGCCCTGAGAGGATACAGTCTATAGTAGATTTCCCAAAGCCTAAACATATTAAACACCTGAAAGCCTTTATGGGAGGCCCTGGATTTTGTAGAATCTCGATCCCTGGATCTGCTGAAAAGGCTCAGCCCCTTTACAAGCTTCTCAGGGAGCATCAGAAGGCTCAGACCCACCTCCTTACTTAGAGCCCGGAGGCTGATTGTGCTTTTCAGGGATTGAAACAGGCCCTGCTGGCTCCTATGCTAGGGCTCCACAATCAAACAAAAATGCCCTCTTTCTGACAGAGAGATGGGGGTTGTTTGGAGAGGTCTCACCCAACCCCTGGGACCTATCCAGCAGCTCATAGCTTACTTGAGCGAGGAATTACATCTGCTGTCAAAGGGATAGTCAATCTGCTTGTGGGCATTGGCCAGCATGGATATTTTTGTCCCCAGAGTCCATAAATTCATGCAAGGATGGGCACTTACAATAGTCTTTCCATGACATTGAGAGGCTCCTTGAGGGACCAATCTGTCCCTGGGTATTAGATGCCTGGATTTTAAGATACCAAATCTTCCTACTAGAAGGTCCTGAAGTGGACATAGATTTAGCAAGGCCTCAACCCAGCCACCTTTCTGCCTTGTCCCAAGGAGTTAATTGAGCATCAACGTGATTGTCCTGAGATGTTAATCTAGGCCCAGCAGTTAAGACACAGAATATATAATCAACATCTGAAGGACTCTGAGGATGAGATTTTTACTTATGGCAGCTCCTTTGTCCAAGAAGGAGTCAGGAAAGCTAGATATCTAGTGTGGGTCACTTGGAAGTTCTGGAGCCAGGTCTCCGAGGCACCAGTGCCCAAAGGGCAGAATTAATAGCCCTCACTCAAGCTCTCAGACTAGCCAAAGGCCAGAAAGTAAACATCTATACTGAGTCCAAGTATGCTTTTCATGTTGTGTGTTCGTGTGGCTATTTGGAAGGAGTGAGGCCTATTAACCTCAAGAGGGTCTCCTACTAAGCATGCTTTGGAGATCTTACAAATTGCTGAGTCTATACACCTGCCCCTTGAAATAGCAGTTTTACATTGCTCAGGACACCAAAAGAAGCAAAAACCTGTTACCCTGGGCAATGAAAGGGCTGACAAGGAAGCCAAGTCAGTTGCCTACCAACACCTAATGTCCTTTTCTGTGGTCAGCCAGTCTTGCCCACTAACCCACCTGTATATTCTGACCAAGAAGTTTTACCGGCCCAGAAACAGGAATAGACCCTTAATTCTGATGGATGCTGGGTCAGCCCCACTGGGTACCTCTTTCTACCTGGCTGCCTAGCCTGGAAGATGACCAATGACGCCTGCCACCTATGGCAGAAAAATACTCTTACCCTGGTTACAAAGGCCTTCCATGGAAATAAGTTAAAAATAGTAGTGCAGCAAATAGTCCAGGGCTGTGAAATATGCTTAAAGACAAACCTAAAAAATGTCTGTCTGCAGCTACCAGACAGCCATAACTGAGGTGCTTATCCTGGAGAGGATTGACAACTTGAGTTCACTCAGATGCCAAGAGGCTACAACCACCAGTTTCTCTTGGTTCTGTTTGATGCCCACACAGGGTGGATAGAGGCCTCCCCCACCAGGTCAAAAAAGGCAAGAGAGGTGATCAGAGCTCTCTTCAATTAGATTATTCCATGGTTTGGGATCCTTCATAAGCTCCAAAGTGATAATGGCCCTGCCTTTCATTCTGAGGTTATTCAAGGCATCCCCAAAGCCCTCAGTATTATGGTCTGCATTGTCCTTGCCAACCACAGTCATCAGGATGGGTTGAACGGGATAATGGGGTACTAGAAAGGCATTTGCACAAGTCAGTACATGAATGCAGGGCCCCTCAGAAACAGCCACTACCTGTGACCTTTACATGAGCCAAAAATGCACCCAGGTTTCAGGGGCTTTCTCCCTTTGAGCTCTTGTATGGGAGACCCTCAGGAACAACATCCTACTCAATGAGGAAACCAAGGGAGCCTTGAGGGAATTGAGGGTCTTAGCCCAGTTCCAGCAAATCCTGTCAGCCTTGAGACAGACTCCAGACATACTCCACCCACCAAGCTTCTCCTCTGCCCTGGAACTGTGCCATTTGTCAAGGGTCTAGACACATAGGACATAACTAGTCCCCAAGGGGAGAGTCCCTACACGGTGATCTTTCCATCCTCACTGCAGTTAACATGATGGGGCATGATGCCTGGATTCATCATTCCTAGGTTAAACAGTGGCTGCTTCTGGAGACCCAGAGAGCAATTCCCATGTGTTACAACAAGAGACAATACCCAAGACCACTTACACCTGTGAAAACTTGGAAGCTCTTAAACTTCTCTTCAAAAGACAGTCAGTGACGGGCCGGGGATCTAGCTCAGTGGTTCTGCCGCCTGCCTCGAAAGCACAAGGACCCCCATTCGATCCCCAGTACCAAAAAAAAAAAAAAAGACAGTAAATGATGGCTATTGACTGAGAGAGCCTCGAACACCCTGTTTTGGTTATGTGTTCTGCTGTGGATTCTGTTCATAGTCTTACTTTTTATCTCTACTTTGCTTACCTACAGTTTTTTCTTATCAATCTGTTAACCCTTTTCATGATTCAGGCCTTACTAGTACCCTCACCTTGACTAGGCACATAGATAACACAAAGTGGCTCCACGACCAGGGAGCTATAGACTCTTTGGCAATACAGATCTTATCCCAAAGCAAAATTTGGTTGCCTTCTAAATCCACCTGGCTCCATTCTCTTCTGGGACTCTTGGCTACTCTGTTATTGTGCCTTGATGGCCTCTGTGTACTTAATTGCCTTATTTGGCTCATTTCAGATCACATTCATGCTGTAAAAATGCAGATGGTCCTCTAGATAAAGCCAAACATGGAGGTTCCTCCTTCTTTCTAATGCGGCCTGTTAGATTAACCTCCCAGTGGACACCATCCACTGCCCCAGCCTGTGCCATGAGTCTATCCCAGTATCATACTCTCTAGATCCAGCCACTGTGAAAAGCCCCACCTATGACCACATGAGGCTTTGGGGGGACAGCTAGACACAAGCTATAACACTGGCCTAGGTCTCCTTATCCATATAGTGTGGAGCTAGGCTTAGAGCTGCTGCAAGCCCCTTCCACTGCATCACTCTCTGGATCCTGGGCTCTGAAAGCCACAGATCCCAGTGCAAGCTTGTGCCATCCTCTATACCAGACCCTGGGACAGCAGGAGCCAGGCTTCTCTGGGGACAGGGCTCGGGTCTTGGATTTCAGCATAGATGCCAAGTGGGATAAAGGAAAAGAGATGTCTATGGAAACTCATTTGTGGTTCTCTTCACAGTGGAAATCTCCCTGAGTTTCTGCAATTCTCACCATGCTGATGAGCACACCTAATCTGGACCTAGGAGAAAACCTCAGCCATTTGCCCTGCTGAACACGCACTTCTTCCTCACAGCTTTCCTGCCCTCTGGCTGACACAGGCTGCCTCTTGGCCCCCTTGACTTTCTCCACTAACTAAATGTCACACCTGCAGCTGTAGTTCCCAAGAGATGCTCTCCAGGTAATTCCATAGAGGAAGAACAAGGACTTTTCCATCTCTCGATACCCTCATGAGACACTGACCAATGACAAGTAGCAAGGCTGCTGTGAGGAAGAGTTAATGGGCCTATAGCCCAAAATGCAGCAATTAAGAGACTAAAGTACTTAAAGGAAATAGAATCCTTCCCAGAAAGCAGGGAAAGAAGGAGAGTCTGACCCATAGATCTGTGGCTTATCACAGCCCATGCTCATGATCTTCTCTTTATCTCTCGAGGAAATATAATGAGCAATTATTTTGTACACATCCCTTTCTGGAAAGTGGGAGGGTGAAGAGTTAAAAGCCATTTGGGATGTTAGCAGTTGGTATTCAGAAATGAAGAAACGGTTCCAGAGCTGGCCCACACATCAGTATGGAAGGTTATTCATGTTAAATAAGGCATGTCACATCTATGAACCCCCTTGATTTCCAGAATAATTGTGAGGAGTAGGAAAGCCATGAGTTCTTGCCTTGGTTTAAAAGATGAGGAAAGCAAGACCCAAAAGGGATAAAAGACATGCCTGAGCTCGCCTGTTTGTACACAACAGGGCTTCTACATCCAGCCATGATTCCTCCCAAAGCAATTTCCACCCTGATGGCTTTTAGGATCTCTCTCATTGGAACAACAGAGGAAAGAGGGAGAGAGTAAGGAAAACACCAAGCATCACTGTTTTACAGGGTTACCTATAAAACTGCTAGAGTCACAGAAGACGGTACATCAGGAGCAACCCACAGATGTGGAGGTGAGGGGCAGGCGGAAGTGCTAACACAGGTGGCCTTCCTGCTCCCCACTGCCCTAAGGAGAACCCAGACCTCTCCACGTGCTCAAGAGCTAATGTGACCCGGGTGCCATGGTGCATGCCTGCAATGCCAACTACTCAGGAAGGATCAAGAAGTTCAAGACCAGGCTGGACACCTGAGTTAGACCTTGTCGCACAATTAAAAATTAAAAGGGCTGTGGTTGTAGTACAGTGTGAACATCCTGAACTCAAATCCTTTGTCCCCTCCACCCCAAAAGAGAGAGAGAAAAGGAGAGGAGGGGAGGGAAAGCCAATCTATTCATCACACTGTATCACGAACAGAGAATGCTGTCTCCCTGGCCAGCAGTGAGCTTCCGAGGGTAGGCACAATGCAGGTGCTCAATGGTTATCTCTGTACCTCTGTATTCATGAATTACGATACTCATGAACACATCTTGGAGTCTTCCTGCCTCTTGATTTTACTGCCCTTACTATCTTAATGTTAATTGCTTCATAAGTTCAATTCTTTCCCAATTCATAAAGCCCATTTTCTGTGGGCGTGGTAGCACATCCTGTAGTCCCAGCACTGTTAAGGCTGAAGCAGTAGGATTACTGAGTTCAGAGTGAGCTGGGGCTACCTACTGAGTTCAGGACCAACCTGGACTACACAGTGAGACCCTGCCTCAAAGAAGAAAAGGTGACTTCCTACTCTATCCTCACCACTTCACAACAAACACTGTCCAAGCCTCTGTGCCTCAGGCACTACGCCTTGTGTGATGACTACGGACTCCATTCTTCAGGCAGATATTACGGACTAACTGGCAGTTGCAAGTGGAAAGGAAATGCTATAATGGAAAACCATAAACACAAGTTGATTCAGAGACTTTCAGTAATAGTAATAACTGCAGCATTTACTGTAGAAATGAAACTATACTGAATGCTTTACATATATAATCTTTGTTATCTTTACAACTCAATGAACAAAGTGGGGGATCGAGGCCAGCAAGGTTAAGTCACCTGTCCAACTACACAAGTCACGAGGATTGATCAGGATTAGAGTCCGCTAAAGGAGATATTTTCTGGTAGAAAAGGCACCTCATATAGGAGGTATGAATGGAATATATGAATGGAAAATAGATCTCTCTCTCTCTAATAAAAGTGTGAAATGTAACATGAGATCAACCCTCTTTGTGTCCTTGTCCTGTGATCCAGTAGTAAGCACAGGAGCACAGGCTACCAAAAACCTGAGTTCCAGTAAGGTTCCAGGGAAAGCTACAAGCACAGTAGTGGCCTTAGCCGTCGCAGCCTGCTCCATGGTGCCCTCTGGTGCTCAGTAAACAGCACGCATAGTTTTTCCCCAGATGAGCCGATTCACTAATGAAGTTTCCACCAGGGTCGCCCCTGGCTAAGACAGCACGGCTGACTTGTCCCTCGCTGTGCTCTCCCATGCCCACCAACCTCACCTCCCTGTGAGGGGCACTCAAGGGACAGATGTGGGCAGCCGACTGGTCTGAGATCAAGGGCATTTCCACTCTAGGGAGGTTGCTGCTGTCTTCCGGGCTCGGATTCCAAGAGCCCGACTCCTCCCACGCAGATATCCAGGCTTCCCAACCCCGAGACCACTGTGACTGCACTGTGGGCCGACTGTCTATGCCTGATGCTGGCATTAGTGGCAGCCCACATTCTGATCTCAGATCCAATAGCTAAATGGTTTGTTTCCAGCGGGCATGGTGGCGCACACTGTAATCCCAGCGCTCGGAAGGCTGAGACAAGAGGATCTCAGCGAGTTTGAGGCCAGCCTGGGCTATAAACGAGTCGAAGGCCAGCCTGCACTACAGAGCAAAACTTTCTCTCAAAAAACAAACAGAAACCCCAAAACAGTTTGTTTCCCTGAAGCCAGGATTGTGTGTGGTATGCACTGCTTGACACTTCTTCCCCAGAGGCCAGCAGCGGGGCAAGACAGATAATAGACAATGAAATGCACTGTGCAGCCTCCGGGAACTGCCCTGAGTGGGCGAGGGGGGCGTGGGGGACCTGGAGGACTTCCTAGAGGAGGAGGCACTTTAGCTAGTCTTGAGCAGAAGTGAACCAAGACAAAAGTAGTTCAGAAACAAGGCTATCGCCAGAGGCCCGCCTGGAGGGAAAATCCAAAGCAGGGAAACAGCCCGTGCTGCACTTTCTGTATCACCACAGCACATGGTTGGCAAGGTCCACAGGTACCCTTCACAGTGTCCTGCCAGGACCTTGTGCTCTTTCATAGGTCCATTCCTGCAGGGTTTCAGAGTCAGCGTTACATGCCAAATTCTGCATTTCAGATAAAGCACTCAAATCCTTGCATGCTGTGGAACTCATGTGGTAGGGTAAGACAGGAGACAGTGGGGAACAGGAAGCTGTATTAGGATGGCAGGCTCCAGGATAAGAGAGTCAAGTGAACCAATAATTAGCACACCTCTCTCCACAAATGAGTTCCAAACCAACTGAGAAAAAAGGCAAAATGGTAGACAGGGATCGCTTCAATTACTGACAAGCTAGGTGGAAGATGTAACTAATATCAATGGCCTGTGTTAACTTCTTTGTATGCAACTCCAGAATTCTTCAGATTCACCATCAAACTGCAGGCATTCTGGCCCAGCCCAGACTTCTTCATGTAGGGCCTACAGCTATGAAACTTGAAACACAGAATAGCAGAACCCAATGCTTCCTGCAAGCAACCCCACCTTCAAATGAAAATGAAGTATGCATGCCTACTTTCCTTCTTCCCACATTTGATTAATACATAAATCTATGCAAATCTCCTGAGGCATGGGATGTTACAGGACCTCAAGAGACCAGAGAAGGATTTCTTCAGGTGTATGCTGACCCAAAGGCTGAGCCCCAAACAAAGAAAGGGCTCCAGTTTTATACATGCTGCCAAGGGGGCTATTGTACCTAGTGGTGCATAAATTGGGGGTGGGCAAGCAGAACAAAGGCAGTTTGCAATTTAACATATCCCAGTGGCCTTGGTCAGGTAAAGCAGGATGCTATAAAACTTTATTGACAGGGACAAAGTTACTGATTTTATCTGTATTAGAACAAAGAACAACAGCGGTATTGCTTAGGTTGGGGAAATTTTTTTTAAGTCCTGCTTCTGGGGGATAATTAAACTTCCTGTACATGGGAGAAAACATCAGGAGCAGAAAAGCATTCCTCCCTTACAGTCTTTTCACTTTCAGCCCCTAGGCTTAACCCTTAGAGCCACAGAGGACCAAAACAGTCTCCTGAAGTCACTCCCACAGCCAACCACTGTCCCTGTGGTTATCTTCCTGGAATCACTGGAAGCAGTTTAGACTTCGTCCCAAAAGGCTCAGGAGGGGTCAGAATACATGGCTTAGGGCTGGGGTGGGGCTGAGCAGTGGCATATTGTCTAGCACTCAGGCTTTGGGTTTAACACTCAGCACAGGGGCAGGGGTGCACCCATTAACTACAACTTTAAGGCTTCTGCAATTCAAGTATGAAAATCCACTCCACTTCCCACCCCAAAGTAGGCCCAGCCACACAGTTTAACCCGGCACTGCCAAATGCCAATAGAGAGACCCATATCTAAATAGAATCCATCTCATCAAATTTATACATAGAAATTTCTTAAAGGTAAATCTCCTTGCAAACCAAACTCCCAAATGTTAAACTCCAATAGAATTAAAATCCAAAACTAGGGCCGGGGATTTAGCTCAGTGGTTCCGGCTCCTGCCTTGAAAGCACAAGGTCCTGAGTTCGATCTCCGGTGCCAAAAAAAAAATCCAAAACTAAATTCCTTATCTTTGTGAATTAAAAGTTTTAAACTCCAACCTTCTTAAAGGCCCAAGCCAATCTTCCCTAAATTCTTATTCTACTTAACCAGAAGGAAGCTTGGTGTGGTGGTGCACACCTGTAATTCCAGCACTCAGGAGGCTGAGCCAGGATTGCTGAGTTCTAGGCTAGCCTGGGCTACACAACAAGACCTTGTTTCAAAAATAAATAAATAAATAAATGAATAAATAAATCTTAACCATAAGGGGTCTTCGTGCTTGGGGAGAGTTAGGGTCCTCTCAGCAGCCACAGCCTGGGCTGTCACTCCTAAGAAAGTGACTTCTTTTTAGGGCCTCAGAAATGACGAGCCAGGTGTGGTTCACACAGTAATTATCCCAGCACCCCGGGAGGCCAAGGCAGCAGGACCACAAGCTCAAGCCCAGCTTGGGCAGCTCAGCAGGACACTGAAAATCTTAAAAGCTGGGATGTAGCTCAGTGTGAAGGCCCTGGGTCCAGCCCCCAGTACAGGGTGGGAAAAGGTAGCTTGTAAGTTGAAATGTACTTCATATACTATAAAAACCACTCTTTTAAAGAATTCAGTGGGTTTTAGTATATTCACAAAGTTGTGCAAACCATCACCAATTTCGCATTGTCACTGCTCAAAAAGCACCATTCCCTTTAGCAGTCACTTTCTTTTCCCTACCCAGCTCCTGGCAACCAGTGATTTTGTCTATAGATTTGCCTATTTTAGACAGTTCACATAAATGAAGTCACATGGTGGTTTGTCTGGCTTCTCTTAGCATAATGTTCTCAAGAATCATCCACGTTGTTCCCTTTGCAGTTAATATTATTTGGACATGGTACGTTTTATTTATCCAACCACTGATGAGCATTTGCAGTTATTTCCACTTTGGGACAGTTATAAGTAAGGCTGCTGTGAACACTTGTGTATGTTTTTGTGTGGGCATTTTTGTTGGGTCATGTAATAGTCCTACTGAATTGTTAGAGGAATCATCAAATTTTTCTCTGTAGCAGCTGCATTTTACATTCCTATCAGCTCTGGTTTCATTTTCTCACCGACACTTTGAGTTTCCTCTTTTTCCTGCTCTTCTTATAGCTACCCCACAGTACACAGGATACGGCTCCCATCTGCGTTTCCCTAATGACAACTGCACGCTTATAGGTCTGTGTATTTTCTGGGGACAACTTTATTCTGATCCTTTGCCCATTTTTTAGTTGGCTTGTCTTTTGAGTTATAACAGTTTTTATATGTTCTAGATACAAGTCCCATATCAGCTATATGACTTACAAATATTTTCTCCCATTCTGTGAGCTATCTTTTTTTCATCTTTTTTTTTTTTGGTACTGGGGATCAAACTCGGGTCCTTGCGCTTGCACAGCAGGCGGCAAAACCACTGAGCTAAATAATCCCCAGCCCTTTTTCATCTTCTTGATGGCGTTCTTTGAAGCACAAAAGTTTTTAATTTTGTGGAAGTCTAACTTATTTATTTCTTGTATTGTTTGGATTTGCTTCACTTTTTAATGAGACCAGAGCTAACTGGAGGCAAAAGACTATCACCAGTCCCCACACGAAATTTAGAAAACTCAGTTGCCAACTCCTATCCTCAGTGGTCCTGCCAAGTACAGTCTTAGAACCCAAAAGTGAACAATGCCAAAGAAAAATCTTCATTATGAGACATCAGAGTTCAAACTGAATTTTCTAAGAAATCATTTCAGGTGTTTTAAGTGCACCTGTTCAAAATCAAGGTTCATCAATTTCCTTGAAACTATTTGAGAATCAAATGGTCAAATAAATGACAACACAAACAGGAAAAATGACAGGAATGCAAGTAACAAAGTACAATCTTTGTTCCAATGGCTACTGTACCATAATAAACAACAATTAACCAAAAACATCTTTATTTTTCAGTCTTCAAAGAACAAACTCCTTTTCTCTTTTTCCAAGATAATCATGATTAACTTAGAAAAATGTGTATACATTTTCAAAGCATTTCCCTTTAACGGGAAACTTAGCTTTATAGACTCTAAACATTAAAACATTTAAAAAAATTCTATTTTCTTGTCATCATAAGACAAAACAGAAGCTAGCCTAAATTAAGGAAATCCATTCATACTTCGGGTCCTTCTCCTCCAGGAACCAGCTGCATTGAAGGAAAAAAAAAAAAAAGAGTTTAATAAAATAACGTCCCATCATCCCAAAACCCGGAATTGTTCTCCATCAGCCAAAGCCACCCCTGCCTCTTTCTCACATTCTCATTTTCTCCAAGTCATTCATATCTGTTCACAATTCCTGTCATCATCAGTTAGTACTTAAGTGTCTCGACAATGATTTCTAACAAAACTAAAGATTAAAAAGGCCAAGCTAAGGGCCAGGGATTTAGCTCAGTGGTTCCGGCACCTGCCTCGCAAGCACAAGGTCCTGAGTTGGATCCCTGGTACCAAAAAAAAAAAGCTCAAGCTAAGTAATCTTTAGGCTCAATGCCTTTTCAATAGCTCAGCTTTAGGGCCTGGACCATCAGAGAATCCCTTTCCCATCTTAAACACTACTGGTCCATGAGGATTTAAATGAAGCAAGCACCAGCAGGTCATGTTAGTTTTGCAATCCCCACACCACAAAAAGCATCTAAATAAAACAGCTTTTATATATCTCACCATGGTTATATTATTTCCATTTAGCAAGATCTGATCTAATTTAGTAATCCTTCTTCCTTCTGGTGTGATCTCACTAAATGAAGAGATAAGACAGAGTCAGGATAAACAAGTAATCAAAGCCAACATTTTAGAAATACTTCTCCTCCCTAAAAAGGTTATTCTTGGGACTGGGGTATAGGTCAGTGGTAAAGCACGTGCTCAGCACACATGAGGCTGTGTGTTCAATTTCCGGCACCAAAAAGGTTATTCTTGCATATGAATTTGAGGTGAGGCAATTACATTTATACTTTTCAGAGACAAAGGTAATGTACATTCTTCATCAAAGGCAACAGACTAGATGGGCTAGCCTACAACCCACATAACTGAAGCTTCTTTGTAAAAAGAAGCTAAAACTTTCCAAGATCAAATATGAAACAAAAATGTTTGGATGCTCCAGTCTTTCTCTTTAAACTCATCTATTACTACTCATTCTTATCCATTAAACCAATTTATAATCAAATTAATTTTGAAGAAACACTAGTTGTAAGCTTCATAATATAATTGAGCCATTATTTACATTTTATGTTGCACAGTTAAATGCTCTTATCAGTTCTTTGATGGTTCTGAGCCCTAAAATTGCTGGCTGTTTTTAGTATTTTGTACCTTACAGCTTTGTTTACACTAATTTCCTAGCAATTTAGCAATGATTACATTAAGGTAATAACCTGATCCAATTTTACAAACATCCGCAAATAAAATTTGTCTTCAGGTAATCTAGTGGAAAGTGTTTTCTCATCAATCATTTTAGCAATTCAATCGTACTAAAATTAAAACTGACTTTATTCTGTTTTGGGTTTTTTTGGTACCAGGATCGAACTCGGGTCCTTGCGCTTGCACAGCAGGCAGCAAAACCACTGAGCTAAATCACCGGCCCTAAAATTAAAACTAACTTTAATTGAAGAGGTTTCCTCAATTCTTTGATACTACTTACAACTCAGTGACATCTTCCAGCACCATATCTGAAATTTGGTATTAAGAAAATAAATGTGCTAGGTTGAATTGTTTTAATTATGCCTAAAACAATGGTTAAAATACAAAAGGCTAGCCAGGAATGGTGGTGCACACCTGCAATCTCAGCACTCAGGAGGCTGAGGCAGGAGGACTGCCATAAGTTTGAGGCCAGCCTGGACTACATAGAGAGAATCTGTCTCAAAAACCAAAAACAAAACAAAAAAAAGTTATTGCTCTTGGAAAGTTAATCTTCTTTCAATACACTTCCTCTTAAAACTATCACAAAGGGGCCGGAGATTTAGCTCAGTGGTTCCGGCACCTGCCTTGCAAGGGAAAGGTCCCGAGTTCGATCCCCAGTACCAAAAAAAACAAAAAACACTATCACAAAGGACTAGGGATATAGCACAGAGGTAGAGTGTTTGCCCCACATCCGTGAGGCCTTGGGTTTGATCACCAGTACAGTAAAAACTATCACAAGTTCCCTAAAAATAAAATGATTTTCATTATAATAAACATACTGATTGTGGACTGGTGCAACCACTGTGGAAATCAGTATGGAGACACCTCAAACAACTAGGGCTAGAGGTCCCATTTGACCCAGCTATTTCCCTGCTGGGTATCTTCCCAAAAGAATTAAAAGAATCATATCACAGTGATATATGTGCACCCATGTTCATAGCAGCACAGTTTGTAATAGCTAAAGCTTGGAAGCAGCCCAAGTGCCCATCAACTGGAGACTGGATACAGAAGATGTGGGTTTTGTATAAAATGGAGTACTACTCAGCCAGAAAGAATGAGAAACTAGAGACATTTATAGCTAAATGGATGTATATTGAGGCCATACTCTTAAGTGAAATAAATAGGACACACATGTGTAAATACCGAATAGTTTCTCTGGTGTGAGAAACTAAAAGTATAAATAAGGATTAAAATGATTAAAATGAATAATTGATAATTTGAGCTAGGAAAAGGTCCAAAGGGATAGGGGTGGTGGGAGGGGAAGGGGAAAGGAAAGAAGGGAAAGGAAAAATTATGAGAAAAGAAAAAAAATGGAAACGAAGTCTGTGTAAATAGGGATGGGCACACAGGTAATGGGGAAAAAATAAGAACCAAGATACATCATGTACAGGTACAAGCACCCAATGATAAATGTAAACATATTGTTTATCTAAAATGTACCAATAAAAGAATTTTTTTAAAAAAATCAAAAAACATACTGACTGTGTATAGTCCATATGCTGCTATTAAATATATAAAAAAAACCTATGCTGCCACCACTTTTTAAAAGGATACTGACAAAGTCATCAAATCCTAGAAGAGTGCCAACAATTTCCTTATCACTTTTCATCACAATGTGAATTCTTGATCCTATACACTTGTCCACGAGTTCTGTGGAGAGAAAATGATTATTTTATCTGTTATTTCAATAGATCACTGGAGTGTCTACTTGTAATCATTATTTGCATATGACCAAGACCTAAGATTTTAGGTCTTTCGGTTCAAACATTAACAAAAAAATTTTCCTTCACCTTCACACACCTCTTCTTCCTGAGTAGCAGTTTACTCATATGGTTGTGGCTTTATCCTTTACTCGACTAATACAGAAAGACACACAACACTCCTCCCTAACTCCACTAGGGCAGACTGTGGCTATTTTTGGCATAATTGTTTCCCCGATACAGAACGTGGCATATACGGGCATTCCAAGAATCTGCCCTATGCAGGAGTGAAGTTTTCCATTATAACCACATCCACGTATCACTCTTCAGCTACAAAACACTAGAGGAAAGGGGCATAGTTATCTTCGCCAAGACCTCTTTCCTGTCACTTCTTCCCCTCTTCCCAGGAAGTCTACCTCCTGCACAGCAGCCTGCACACCTTTAGCCCGCTCAGCTGCCTTCTTCAGCTTGATGTTCACTGCTGTGCCATGTAAATTCAATGGCTGGGGTTTAAGTTCGCGGTTGGACAGTGCCCCGCCATGTTCTGCGAACCGCTTGCAGGACGGATGGGTGGATGGGTAGATGGAAGGAAGGATGGTCAACTGGAAGAAAAGCAGGGCCGGCTTCCACCTTCCTCTTTTCGGTTCTTTGCGGGCCGTGGCGCTACTCGCAGGGCTGCATAAGCTGAAAAGGGGCCGCTAACCTAACACCGCCCCAGAGCTCGCAGCGCGGCGGCCGAGCACGCCCGCCCGCACACCGCGCTTCCCGCGCCTCCCGCGCGCCCGGCCCGCAGCCTCCGCCTCCCCGCCGCGGAGAGGAGCGCGGGGGGCCACACAGCTTCCCCCTCGGCCAGGGCGGCCTCGGTCGCGGCTCCCCAGCCGGGTTCCCCGAAGGCACACGCTTACCTAGCGGCAGCAGCTGAGACGGGTTGGTGGTCGCGTTGGCCGCCATGACGACGCCGGAAGTGGACCGCGTCCATCTACGGACGGCGGCTTTAAGCGAGCGCGCTTCCGCTGCGCCTGCAGCCCGGGCAGGCACGACCAATCGGAGGCCGAGCGTGCGATCGGGACGCGGTGAAGCTCCAACGCGCCTCCGCAGTACCCACTGTGCCCCGAAGTCCGGGCCGACCTTAACGGTGTCTTGCCTCGGGAACGCATTCCTCCTCTAAGCCAGTAGCCCACTAAACGGAAAGTTTTATCACAGTCGTCTAACCTTCCCAGAAAACTGCGTCTCGTCTCACTCTACGATCTTTGTTCAGGACAGTAAATCAAGTCACAGTTCCCGCCTCCGACTCGCCACGCTGCCCTTTCTGCAAAAACTACTCATTTCCTTAAGGAACCTGCCGCTTCTAAGTCCAGAGGACTGAAAACTACGAGGGATTTAAGTTTACTTAAATTTAAGTTTACTACTGTAATTCATCGTTCTTTTTATCAGAGTCTGGTTTAAAATTTATAGGCTTTTTATTCCACAAGTATTGTCTGACAGGCAACTACCAGCTGTCATTATATGTGGAAGTCATTTGTAAAAATCATGCTTTTGCACTTATTGTAAAAAGGATAGAAAGTAAACTCTTCCGCGGTCCATTTTATATTTGCATTCTAGGAACTTTGCACCCTAGCAACCTTTTGAAAGGTTGCTTGATAACCGTCATACCTTCCTTTAACAAATAGGTATTTGCTGCATGCTGCTTGCCCTGCAGTGTTCCGAGTATAAAGCAATCTTCAGACTAGAAAAGGTGTTCTGCCCTTGGAGGAGCTTAAAGAAAAATGGGGGTTACTACAGCGATATATGTGTACCCATGTTTATAGCGTCACAGTTTGTAATAGCTAAAGCTTGCAAATAGCCCAAGTGCCCATCAACTGGAAACTGGATAAAGAAGATGTGGGTTTTTTATAAAATGGAGTACTACTCAGCCATAAAGAACGAGAAACTAGAGTCATTTATAGCTAAATGGATGCATATTGAGGCCATACTCTTAAGTGAAATAAATAGGACACACATGTGTAAATACCAAATAATTTCTCTGGTGTGAGAAACTGAAAATGTAAATAATGATTAAAATTAATAATTGATAATTTTAAATATGAAGAAAAGTCCAAAGGGGTAGGGGTGATGTGAGGGGAAGAGGAAAGGAAAGAAGGAAAAGGAAAAATTATGAGAAAAGAAAAAAAGCGGAAATGAAGTCTATGTAAATAGGGAAGGCTGGAGGGGGTGAAGGGTGCACAGATAATGGGGAAAAAATAAGAACCAAGATACATCATGTACAGGTACAAACACCCAATGATAAATGTAAACGTATTGTTTACCTACAATGTACCAATAAAAGAACTTAAGAATTTAAAAAAAAAAATGGGGGAAACAAGTATGAACTTCATTTCAAGGCGCCATGAAACAACATATAAAGCAAATAATAATATCTAGGAGCTTCAAGAATCCTAGGGAACTAAACTGTTTAAATTTCAATTCAGTCCTAGCTTTTTTGAGAGGGACAGGGGCTTCCATAATTGGGGCCGGGGCTGTTGTTGCTCTTTGGGTTTGGGTTTTTTGTTGTTGCTGTTTTTTCCAGTAAGGGGGGTCAAGCTCAGGACCTTGCACTTGTCAGGCAGGTGCGGCGCCACTGAGCTACATCCCCGGCACCATAAATATTGAACACCTACTAGAATCCAGAAGTAAATATACTTCTAAGTAATTTTACAAGCATGCTATCAGGCAAATATCATGATAAAGTTACTTGTATTCAGATAAGTTAACTTGCCCACTGGTCTCATAGTTGACCTAAGAAACTTCACAAAGGAACTGACAGCAGTCTAGGCTTGAGGGACGAATACGAGTTGGATAGACAGAAAATACAAGAGCAGCATTTCAAGCAAAGGGAACACTATGCATTTGGTGCACCTCCAAACCTCTATTGTTGACCTTTGATGTAATCTTACACACTTCCACTAAGTTAAGGATAAAACCCTTCCCTTCCCAAGTGTATTTCCTTAATAACCACAGCCTTCAGTGATTTTACTTTATGATGTTCTTCCCACAGCCCAAGTCCTGATAAAATCTCGCTCGACCTTCAGGACCATGCTCAAATATGACCACCTTATCTGACTTGCAGACTTGTACTCTGTCATCCTCAGGTAGCAATGTTAATAGCGCTCAGAATGTTTTCATCATATTTTCTCTAATTACTCAACTAGGCTATCTCTACCCAGAACACTGAGTTCCTCAAGGGCAAGAAAATTAGGAAGCAGTAGAGTATATTGACTAAATCTATTGGTTTTCAATGAAGTTGCTTACATTCAAATTGCAACTCCACCACAATTCCTTTTAATTTATTTAATTTTGTTTATTTGTTTTTTAGGGAGGAGGTTTGGGTACTGGGGACCGAACTCAGGACCTTGCACTTGTGGGACAGGCAGGGGGACCACTGAGCTAAATCCCCAGTCCTAATTTAGTTTATTTATTTAAGCTTTTTAAGTATAAATTTACCCATTGGGAAAAATAGTAACTATTTGTAAGTTTATGGTGAAATTAAATGAGATAATCCATGAAAAGTGGTGAGCACAGGACCTGGCACTTCGTAAACCCTATTAAACATGAGCTATTATTACTTGTTATCCTTGTTTCTTGGTACCTAACATGATGATTCACTTAGAGTAGGAGCTGCATGGAGCTAGCATTACTAGCTGGCTTCAAATTTCCCTCTCTTCCCCCAACCCCATACCAGGGATCAAATTCAGGACTTGTGCTTTGGAGGCAAGCAGCAGCACCACTTAACTAAATCCCTGGCCCCTAATTTCTCTTATTTTTATAACCAGACAGAAACCTCTTTAAGGCAGCAATCTTTCGTTTAATTCACTGTGCTATCATAATTTCCAAATGTACTCCAAAGTATAATGAATGCTCTCCAAATTGATTGTATTTCACTTGAACCCATGAACATCCTCCTTAATTTTCATAAAGTTCTACATACTGAGCCAGGGATTTAGCTCAGTGGTTCTGCCACCTGCCTCGCAAGCGCAAAGACTCGAGTTCGAGCCCTGGTACCAAAAAAAAATTTTTTTTTTAAATAAAGTTCTAAAAAATAAAATAAAATAAAGTTCTAAATACATAGTAGTGGCACATTTATTTGTGAAGCCCTATTCCTCCTCCCTTTGGTTTTTCTTGTCTGTTCTTATCCCTGTTCTATGTTCATCACACCAGAATGAGAATATGAACCAAATTCAAGGCAACATCACTTCATAACAGCATTCAAAAATATACTTGAAGACAGTCAGTGCCAGCTGGCCTGGGTGCTGCACCCACCTAACCCAGCACTCAGGAGACTGTGAGTGACCTGGAGTTCAAGGCCAGCCTGGGCAACTTAGCAAGACCCTCAATTCTTTAAAAAATTGAGTTTTTAAGTTTTCCTTTACAATAATAAAATGAATATTAGCAATTTTCAACGCCACTAAAGAAAAAACTATTTAGATTCTCAAAAATGTACTATGGATAATTTATTTACACAATAACATTAATAAGGACCGCCAGATGGGAGTGTTCAATTTCATTGTGTTCTTTCCTGAGCCAAGACATGAAAAGAAACAGTCCAAATGACAAACTTGAAAATTTGACATAGCCTTACACGTCAAAGATTTTCTCTTTTTAGCTTTTTTTTAACCAAGCAGACATGAATAGAATTTATAATTCATCATAAAATATGTAACTAGAAGAGGCTCTTGAATGTATTGTGCGTTCAGAAGGCATTTTTAATTTTTCCCCCTGGAATTAAATGTCATCACATAAATAACAACCAAGACTTTTCTTTCAAATAAAATTAAGAGGGCCCAGGATTTAGCTAAGTGGTGCCACACCTGGCTCACAAGTGCAAGGTCCTGAGTTCGGTCCCCAGTACCAAAAAATAAATAAATAAATAAAATTCAGAAAAGTATTCAGTTATCTAAAACTAGTGTTGATAACCAGTCTTGATAATTTCCTTCAGTTCACTTTTTTTAAAAAAAGACATTTAGCCGGGGATTTAGCTCAGTGGTTCCTCTGCCTGCCTCCAAAGTGCAAGGTCCAGAGTTCAATCCCGGGTACCAAAAAAAAAAAAAGAGAGACATTTCTATTCTTTTTTTTTTTTTTTTGGTATCGGGGATCGAACTCAGGTCCTTGCACTTGCACAGCAGGTGGCAAAACCAATGAGCTAAATCCCTGGCCCCATTTCTATTCTTTTCCAATAGATATTTGTCTTTGTGGACTATATACTGCTAATGAATTAATTCTACATTAATACAACTCATTAATACTAAGGTAAGGAAGTTATTATTCTACACTGTTTGGGGGTTTGTTTGATTTTTTGTTACTGGGGATCAAACTCGGGTCCTTACGCTTGCAAGGCAGGCAGAGGAACCACTGAGCTAAATCCCCGGCCCTAATTCTACACTGTTAACTGGGCCAGTCTGTATATTTAGAAATGGGGAAAATCCTGCAAATTCCCTTCCTCACACTCTCTACCAATTTTCATAGCTTCTTTATTTATAACATTATCTTATTTACTTGCTTATTTCAGTACTGGGGATTGAACCCAGGACCTTCACACTGAGCTACATCTCAAACCTTTTTTGTTTCTTTGTTTGCTTTGACTCAGGGTCTCCCTAAGTCACTCAGCTGCCCGGGCTGGGCTTGCACTTTTGACCCTCCAGCCTCAGCCTCCCGGAGTGCTGGGACGACAGGCAAGCATGCACCACCATGCTCAGCTATAGCACTATTTGAAATGGTATCTTTTAAAAATATTTAAGCATAATAACTATGAATACATGATTTAATCTTAAGTGAAAGCTCTAGGATACAAGATAAATATTTATAAAGTTGTTACTGGGCCTTCTGCATAACGAATTAACTGATGTTCACTGCAGAGTGTTAAATGCTCTGTTCTGACAATTATTTTCAATACTTTTATTTTTTTTCAATTATTTTCAGACTTTTATTTTAGCTATCCCAGTTGTGGAAAATATCAGCCATGTTACATCAAGAAAATAGTCAACACATTAAGTAGTTAACATACCAAACAGGTGACATTTCAAGAAACAGTATATTCTGTATACAGGAAATAGTATAGTTTCACACAGTTCTGAGCCATTTTTTAACATAGAAAAGCATGGATAACAACACAGCAAAAATTCTACGGTACTTTTATTAACATTAAAAAATTCTACTGAAAAAAAAGTTCTACTGAATCATAGAAATCAAACTTCATTCAGGAAACCTACTGTTTTTCTCCATTATGCTTAGATTAGAATGAGGTACTTTGGTTATATTTCAAGACCACAAGCGGAAAATATAAAACGCTAAGGTCACCTACAACTGATACATGCAACTCATCACGGTAAACTTGAAGGCCAGTTACTGTGCTACGCCAAATCCTGTCTGAAACAGGGACCTACCTACCCTTTAGTTCATTCCAAAACTCCGCTGCATAAAGACTTGTTATAGACTTGTTTTTCACTTTAAATTGATAAGAGATTCATCACTTTTAAAAAATTTAAATAATAAAATCAGTAAAGGAATTAAAAACTTCAGTGACAAAAGACCCATGTATTTCATGCTGACCATAGTAAAACAAGGAAAAGGTGGAAAGGAAACACTACTTTTTTTAAAAAATTGCAAGACTAGAATAATCATTTTACAGGTCTCCATAAACATTCCAAACTCCTATATATAAATTTTAATTTAGAAAAAAAATGCAATATGAAACAAAAGAGAACTTTTCGGAAAAGCAAGCAATTTAGAGGTGAAGACAGATCGCAGTCTCCACCTGAGAGACTCCAACTACGAGCCGAAAGAAGTAGAGGGGACAGAGATATTTACAAAGAAGGAAAGCTGAGAATAGAGGTGGGAGGGGCGCAGATTTTAAGAGAAAGAAGAAGCAATAAAGAAAAGCGGTTTAACACGGAACCCACAGAAAAAGGAGCAGGAGTAGCCCTCGCTCGAGACCCCGCCCCCAGGCCCCGCCCCTCGGCCTCCTCGAGTGCCCCCGCTCCTCCAGGCCCCGCCCCGCCCGCGTCCCCTCTGATCATTTAATCCCGCCCCTCGGGCCCCGCCCCTCCAGGGCCCGCCCCGCACCTCCCACCACCGCGTCAGGTGACACCCGGAAGTGCGGAGGCGGCTGAAGGAAGAGCTGCGGCCGTGTGGGGGCGGCGCGGAGCTGCTGGGCTCCTCGGCCTGCGGCGGCCCCCGGCGCGGCCCTCATGCGGCGCTCTCTCTGACCCTGGCAGGCAGCCGCTCTCGGGCCTCCGCCGCCGGCTTGGGGCTGCAGTCGTCGTGGTGCGGGCCCATGGAGCCGGCCAGGCGCGGCGGCCGCGGCGCGCCCCGGGGGCCGGTGTTGCACATTGTGGTGGTCGGCTTCCACCACAAGAAAGGCTGCCAGGTGAGCGCGGCCTCGCTCGGGCCTTCCTTCTCAGGCCGCCCCGGGCCCCGGCCCGCCGGTCTCCGCTGACGCGCGTCTGTCCGGAACAGGGTCTGGAGGAGGAAAACCCGCACTGGCTGTTCCCGGCGCGGGGCCTCTCCGGAGCCTCGGGTCGGGCGCGCCGGCGCCTCCGGAAACGACTTCCTCGGGAGCCCGGAGCCGGAGCAGGGGGGCTGGGCCCCGCCGGCCTCCCCTGTGCTGCCCTCCCCGGGCCAGCGCGGCCCTTCTGCTTTGGGGATGCTTCACCTCTCCAGATCGGATGCAGAAAGTGTATTTACCAAGCGAAATGTGCCAGTAGGTGTTTTTCAGTTTCTACACTGGACCCTTAATTCAGCATCTGCGGTGGAATATTTGCAGTCTGTGTATTGAAGGCAAAGGAATAAAATAGAAGCAGAATTATTTAATAGGAGTGGGCAAACACTGGAAGGCAGTGATGTCATAATGTGCTAGTGAACAGTACATTGGAATTGAAAATACTGACTGCTATCACGAGGTAAAGTGGCGTTTGATTTCTTGCCTTTCACAGAAAGGAGTATTTTAGAGGAATTATTGGCACCAGCTCCGTTCATTAGAAGGTGATAACAGAAAAGTGGTGAAGGGCACGCAAAGATGGTTGTGTATGTGTTTAAATGTCTGTTTTTAGGTATATTCCTCATCCCCCAGGTAAAAATGGTATAGAAGAACACCATAGAGGAAGTAGCATTGTTCAGTGTGGTACGCAAAGATTTTCAGTAGTTTAAAACTCCATGTTTGTTTTGGTTTAGGGGAGTGTTTTGTTTGTCTTTTCTTTTTTCTTTTTTTTTTGGTTCCGAGGATCGAACTCGGGTCCTTGCGCTTGCGCAGCAGGCTGCAGAACCACTGAGCTACATCCCCGCCCCGCCCCCCCCCCTTTTTAAATGTAGTTGCAGCTGGACTTGAACTCACTATGTAGCCCAGGCTGGCCTTGAATGTGCTGTCATCCTGCTCCCTCAGCCTCCTGAGCGCTGGGATCGCAGGGCACCTGTGGGTATTAGTGAATTATTAGCTACTTGGAGGGGGTAAAATGATCTTGTTGAAGTCATACTACAGAATAATCCTAGAATCAGAACCGGTATTGCCTCCCACACGGGACACGTTCCTTCTGTGTGCCGCTGTAGACGTCTTTCCAGCTAAGGAAGGACGGGGATACTCACTTGAGAACCACACTGGATGGAACTTTGGATAGGAAAGAAAATATCTGTACTGGCAGGAGACAGGATGAAACCTAATTTTTGCTGTCATCTGGAAATTAAGATTTATTATTTTCTATCTGTTTTATTGGTAAAGGTAATACAATTTGTATTTCCAGAAAAGAGCGCGCACTGCTGCTTAGAGATTGGAGAATGCTGAAGTGCAGAATGTAAAGTGTGAGGCTCTGTGGCCTTTGCCTGCCCACCTTTGGTTTTTGCTTTCAGCAGTCAGCGGAAGTGACTGTGAGAAGAACCCCGTCCTAGAAGTCGGGAGACCCGGATGATGTCACAGCACGGTGACCTCCATCCAGCAGGTCCAGATAACCTAACTTTCTTTACTTCCCATTTTCCTCTACCAGGGACTTGAGAGAACGTTAGACCTGGCAGCAGTCCTTAGAGCTCTTTTTCCCAGCTCCCTGAAATTTCCCTCAGTCCCCTGACGCCCAGAGAGGCTGACTGGAGCCTCTTGCACAGCTAGCTCAGAGTCGTTACGGCTGCTTTCTTTTTTTTTCAGTACTGGAGACTGAACCTAGATCCTTCTCACTGAGCTACGTCGCCGCCCCCTTTTTTATTTTTAATTTTAAGAAAGAGTCTAAGTTCCCCAGGTAGGACTTGAAACGCGTCCCACCCTCTCAGAATGCTGGGAACAGGCATGTACCACCACACTTGGCTATTTTTTTTTTTTTTTTTGGTACCGGGGATCAAATTCGGGACCTTGCACTTGCGAGGCAGGCGGTGGAATCACTGAGCTAAATCCCTGGCCCTACATTTCTCTTTTTAAAAATATATATATGTAATATGATTGTCAGGTTTTGCCATTCATAAGCAACAATAGATTCACAACTGTTGTGGAATTGTCACTATTCTCAATACCCAGAACTTTTTCATTATCCCCCAAAACTATACCCATTAAACAGTATATATTTCTGCCGGGTGTGGTGGCACACACTTGTAATCCTAGCACTTTGGGAGGCTGAGGCAGGAGGATCCATGGTGAGTTCGAGGCCAGGCTGGGCTGCATAGTGAGTTCAAGGCCAGCCCAACCTACATAGCAAGAGCCTGACAACAAAACACTAAAATATGTATATAATATATATATTATATATACATTTATTTAAATAGCATTTTTAGGTTGTATGCTCCTAGAAAATAAAAATACATGCCTTGTTTTAGTTGTTACTATAATCCAAATGGTGCTTCACAGAGATGGTGGCAAGTTCTTGAAATTGTGGATTACTAAGAGAAGGGGTAAAAATACAGAAGACTATGTCACAGTCAAATGGAAGATGAGAATCCCAGTTGAGTTTTTCCCCTCAGATTCTCAAAAGTCATTTGATTTGTTATTGCAGCTTTAAACATTTTTTGAAATTTTATTTGTACGTTTGCAGTTTATGCAGTTTGCAGTCATCTTGGGGAGTGGGTACATGTATGTGTTGTGGCTTGGTTTTTAATCCGCTTTTCTCCCCTGCCTCCTCCTCCTCCTCGGCCTCCCCCATCCCATTTTGCGTACTTGCTGATATTACTTGTCTTAGCTCATGCTGTGGAATGTAGCATTTACATTAATTGGAGTATACAGCTTTTAAAAATTATACCTTTAGGGCCAGGGATTTAGCTCAGTGGTTCTGCCACCTGCCTCGCAAGCACAAGGTCCAGAGTTTGATCCCCGGTACCAAAAAAATATATATACCTTTAGTGTAGCAGAAAATGAAGCACTAAGAACCCGGTTCTGTAGACAAGAATGTGCTATAGTTTTTGTAAAATATTGGAAAAAAAGAAAACAGTATTGATTTTTTCACCAGGTAGAAAGGAACATTATAAAAGCAGCAAACTAAAGTACCCTGGATATGTTATATGAGTTCCAAAAGGATCTTCCTCACTTCTGCAGATTAGTGTCTTCTTAGATGCCCTACAATTCTGTTTTCTTTCTTTGGGGGGGGGGTACCAGGGATTCGAACTCAGGGCCTTGTGCTTTTTAGGCAGGCACTGTTCCGCTGAACTACATCCCCAACTAACTTCTGCAGATTAGTGTCTTCTTAGATGCCCTACAATTCTGTTTTCTTTCTTTGGGGGGGGGGGTACCAGGAATCGAACTCAGGGCCTTGTGCTTTTTAGGCAGGCACTGTTCCGCTGAACTACATCCCCAACTAACTCTGTTTTCTCAATTCAAGCACATTTCATGTTTAAAAAGTGTGTTACATGTGTAACAACTCATGAACACTGCCGTTCTTTCTGACCAGTGGGTCAGGTGGTTTTGGAGGTTCTAATTATTTAATTTCCCAGGATGGGTGAATCAGCTACTTCCTTCTTCATTTTATAAATTTACTTCTAGGTATAAGGGATTACAAGTGCATGGCTCATTGGATGGTGACTCAGACTTCAGATGGTTTTAACTCGGGCGTGGCTTTGTTAGCCTGCTCTTACAGCTATTCAGAATGACCCTGCTCATGTTGATCACCAGTTCTTGCCCTGCACTGGAATTATTCTAGGGAAAATTCCAGCACTTGAATCTGTCCCTTTAGACTGAAGTGAACTGAGGTAACGCTTCTGTTTAAAATACTGTTACTTTTACCAGTCAGGTTGGTTAAGCTTGATGACTTACTTTGTCATCTCACGTGGACCCCAAAGGGAAAGCCATCTTCTAATACAGCTTTGCCCACCCAATACATAGGCTGGTGTAAGATGTTTGTTCATCTTTTCTGGATTTTTTGAAGTTTTCAGATACATTTTAAGTGAAAAATTTCTTCATTTAAATTAAAATGAACATCTTTTAACTAACTGTATTGCTTCATTTTTTTCATTTTTGGGAAGAAGTGAATTCTGTAGATAACATGCCAGCTTCTAGTGGTGACTTTTCCACTTATTAATATGCTTAATATTTGGAATTGTTTAAGTGATTTAAAGTACTACTGTGACATTCAAAATAGTTTTGAAATATTTATCCATTTCAACTCTTTTACCTAAGTTTTAAAAAAATTTTGCCATTTAGCAAGACTTTTCTTTCTTAAAAACTTCCCTGAAGTTAGAATTTTTGACATGAAATTATTTCTCTGCGCATCTTCTCTACGGGAAATTTGCAGCTTAGGGATTGTGCTTTCCAGAGTTTTATTTGTCCCAGTACATAAGCTATTTGTCAGATTAGCATAATTTTTGCTAAATAATATATTTAAATATATATCAGATAAACTCATTCACTGATAGACTGGAATTTGGGGGGACATTGAAAGGGTATGGCTCTGTAGTTCAGGCTGGCCTTGAACTCATGGTGATCCTCCTGCCTCAGTCTCCCAGCTGCAGGGATTATAGGTGTGCACCACCGTGCCTGGTTCAGACTGGAATGTTTTAAAATGCTGGCATTAAGAGGGAACAGTTACTCTCCAGAGTGATATCACAGAGCAGTGACGGTGAACCTGTTAGAGACAAGTGCCAAACTGCAACCCAGACCCACTTTACCGCAGAGTGCCAACACTGCGGTGCAACCTCAGTGCTTAAAAAACCACTCGCACATGAACATCTTTTGTCTTAAAAACACGTGTGCCATGGGTTCACCACCACTGTGTAGAAAGTTGGAATTACTACTTGATTTTTTTACCACTTTTCTGATTGAGTTCATGGTTTGTGTACACAACTTCCAATTTAAATTCTTGAATAATCCTTGTTGAGAAACTGGTTTGCCAGGCTCCTTTTCGGAAGAGAATTATAAATGAATGGGAGCTGATCTTAGCAGCAGTTCCAGAGTTAGTGAAGCAGCCACTGTTCTCTTGGCCTGGGGATGGCCCCATGGGTCGCAGAAGGTTGCAGTGCAAATCAGGGTGAGTTGAGATTAGGAGAATAGTTATATGTTAGGGTAACATAGCTGTACTTAAGCCTGGCCTGTGCAGATTTTGGTGACAGATGGCTTGCCCAAAAGCCTGTTGGCACCTGTGGTGACAGTGATGAAAATTCAAGAGGTACTGTTTGTGGCCTGGTGTGCTGGCGCATGCCTGTAATCCCAGTACTAGGGAGGCAGAGGCAGAAGGATCGCTTTGAGTTCAAGGGCAGTGTTTTGTTTAAGGTTGATCGCTGCAGTTGCTTGTACCACTGGTAGCTGTAAAGTGTTCTAGTCTGTAAATATACCATGATTTTATTTACCCAGCACCTGTTAATGAGCATGGGGTTCCCGATGTTTAATAACCAGGCTTGGTTAAGTGTGTAAAAGCTGGTGCATTCTCCACCTAGCTATACACACTTGTGCTACATGACCAGTTTCTTTTACTTGGAACCTGGGGTGATAGAGGTTTGTAGATTTAATATAGATTCCTAGATTTCACTAGTGTAAAAAATCCTAGTAAGTGACACATACTTAAGATCCTTCATAACTATTTTTTACTTTTGAATAAGAGCTTGTAATTAAACACATTTGAAGCTACCTTTATAGAAAGAAATTCTCCAAAAACTAATCTCAGATTCCTTGACGTTGTTTGTCTGAAATACAAGTCAAGCTGTATTAACTCCATGTCTGAAGGTATTTCTGATTTTTTTTTTTTTTTGGTACCGGGGATCGAACTTGGGACCTGGCTCTTGTGAGGCAGGCGCCGGAACCACTGAGCTAAATCCCCGGCCCGGCATTTCTGATTTTTGTGTTACTCATCTGTAAATACTGATATATCAGTCAATGCCAAATCCCTGTAACAGTGCTATTTATTCTCACATTAGTTATATTTGTTTCTCTAGACATTAAATTGAGATGAATCCATAAGAGTTTCTCCATATTGCTGTTTGCATGAAAAGATTTTTCCTTCCTAGAAGAAATATTTCTTGAAAAGGAGCATGATTCTATAAAGTCTTAGTGGCTATATATATACACTGCTTCATGTTAATAAACATACACACTCTTGTAAAGTTATGACTTTAAAGCAGAAAACAAAGTGAAGTATTTAGTGCCTGCAAACCTTTAGTATGATGATCAACTTAATATTATATAATTATATTGACATTAGCAAAATGTCATACATGATTCTAATTTAACTGTGGTAGTGATATAGGGCCTCCAAATGATATATGGGAAATAGATGTAACTCCCAACCTGTTAAATGTCACATATGCCAAGTTTGTGATCCCCAAAATCGAAAAATGAATTCTAAGGAGCAACAGAAGTTATGAGTAGGAAATATTTATGAAGCGAGAGAGCTCCTGAGAGGCAGGAGGGGACCTGCATGGTTTGCTGCGGACCCCACTTTACAGAGGAAGTTTTATAAAGCAAAATCACAAGATGGGTACAACGTGGGTTAAAGCTACAATCAGCTGCGGGGCCTGGTGCCATAATACCAGCACTTGAGAGGCTGAGACAGGAGGATCACCACTAGTTCAAGGCCAGCCTGAACTACAGAGCGAGACCCCATCTCAAAAAAAAAAAAAAAGCTGCAATCAACCAATAAGATTACAAGTATAACTACTTAGGTAATATTGATCCAATAGAGAACCAGCTCATGCAGCCTGGAAAGAACATAGAATTTTTTTAGGAAGGGTTAGGGGTCTTGGTCACCTATGGAGGTGACTGATGTCTATCTAGACTTTATTGGACCAGGTGATACCACTTAACCCTCTGGGAGATGTGTAGGCCTGGTCATTCATCTTTATCTTGACCTGGCCACCAAATGATGCCTCTCCAGCCACAGTTGTAATGTGTTTTCATTTTTTATATTGACTCCCTTGAGGGCCTATCCCTGTCTGACTGCCTATCATTATTTCTACCTAATTTAGCTGTCTATAATAGCAGGATTTACAATCAAAATAAATTTCTTCATTTAAATTAAAGTGAATGTTATTTATCTTCCTATTCATAATCTAAGTACTCTGTCTTAAGCAATATGGATGGTAAAATTGCTCTTTAATTCCAAGGGGGAGAAATTACAGAAGCAGCCTTATATTTACTTAAATCCATAAAAGCAAGTGCTTTAAACTCAGATTTATGTGTCCATTAATTTAAAAATAAACTTTTTTTTTTTCTTGGTCCTGGGGATCGAACTTGAGTCCCTGCGCTTGGAAGGCAGGCGGTAGAACCACTGAGCTAAATCCCTGGCCCTAAACTTCTTTTTAATTGGCAAGTCTCAATAGTATCATTGTACCTCTGTAGTCCACACTTTCTATTTCTGGGCTGTAGTACACTCATAAAACTAAAATACTGCATCATGCTGAGGCATAGTATTAAACACAAGCTGTTTCCAAAATCATGTTGACAACAGTAATTTGTTGCCCACTTTGTAATAAAGTGAAAAGGAAGAAGGTCAGTTGTTTGTTGTAGTGACTTCTTAAGAGATTAGCAGAGAGAACATAACAAAGAAAACATGTCTTTGACATCCAGGGGTCTTTTGTTTTTTCTTTTCTTTCAGTGTTTTGGCAGGGAGGTTGTTTTGTTTTTATAAGTGCTGGTAGTGGAGCCCAGGGCCTCACACAAGCTAGGCAAACTCTTAACGCTGAGTTAACATTCCCAGCCTGTTTTTCTGTTTTTCATCTTAAGTGAAAATTGTTATGAGAGAACCCTGACTGTAGTTCCTAAAATGTGACTTAAATACTTTGTGCTTCTGACTGTCAGGGAGTAAAGTCTGAGATGCTTGGGAGGAGGGGAACAAAGAGGAGCAGCTGATGGAATCCCTGGGAAGCGTGCCGTCCCTCAGAGTGTCTTGCTCCTCAGTGTCTGGACTGCAGCATGGATGGGGCTCCTTTGTGCACTCGGGAATTTGGAATGGTATCTTCTGTCTGTGAGATGTTTCTCTGACAGTTGAGTGGATATCACATTGTTAAAAGTGAACAAAGGGTACTTCTGAGGTACCCAAAGTTCACAGTAGGGAGCTATGCTATTGTTTTGTTTTTAGTTATTCTTTGTTGTTTTTTCAATCATTTTTTCCTGAGAACAAAGTAAATGAGATCTGACTTGATTTGTAAATTGTGGAAAAGGCCATGTGTTAATTTTTGCTATTTCTGAAGGAAAAGCATAGTCACCCTTTCTTAGATTGCCTTTTTAATTTTTTGTGATTACAGAGTCTTAATTAGGCTGTTTGTTTTTGAGACAAGGTCTCGGTATGTAGTTCAGCTGGACTTGAACTTACTATGTAGCCCAGGCTGGCCTCTAACTCGAGATGATTCTCCTGCCTCAGCCTCCTGAGTGCTGCAATTACAAGTGTGTGCCACCACACTTGGTCTCAGCTTTCATTCTTTAGAAGTCAGGGATTGTCTTTTCTCTTTCCCTTCTCCCTTTGTAATCATGTGAAGATGTAAAATAATTGGAATCAAAGTAGATTTGGCCACATGAATATTGGCTGCATAAAGAGAGCATAATTTAATAACATTGTCCTTTGGGGGAACCTTTAATGCCTCTGGCAGTGGAATGTGTTCATCCCCTACCAGACAACATCTTTGATCCCCAGGGTAACTTAGATTTGGGGCTCTAAACATTCACTTTTTTTTTTTTTTGCCATACCAGGGATCGAACTCAGGACCTTGTGTTTGTGAGGCAGGCGGCAACACCACTGAGCTAAATCCCCACCCCACATTCACTATTTAATAGTGAATAATGTTTATTAATCTAAATGTTTATTAGTCTTGGAGGACTTAACATTGGTTTTGTCTATGATTTAGCTCATATTTGTAGGGCTGCCATATACAGCTGTATAGACTTCACTTGATATTAGCCAGAAGGCCAAGCGAGCAGCGATACAGCTGTGTAGACTCTTAACAACTCCAGGGAGAGGCATTCAGGTAAACTGCATGGCTGTGGTTCCCCCTGATCTTGCATAGGGAGGCAGCTGACCACACCTTCCTCTCCCTCAGGAACCCAAGGGAGCTTTGTTCTAGGAACCAGCACAAAGAAAGAAAAAAGAAGTATATATGATACTTCAATAATACTGAATAACTTTATAAAATGTTAAAAAACTAGGAAAATGTTCAACAAGAGGATCAATTAAAGAAGGAAATAGTAGCATATAGCTGTTAAAATTATTGTATACATGTAAACATAGGCATTTCTGTAACTCTTTTGAACTTGACTAGCAAGTTTAGCAATTTCCAAATGCAAGTATTGATTGGCAGCAAATCTCCCAACAGGAAACGAAAGTTCTAGAGCACAGCCAACACAGTGCAGGCAGTCTGCAGTTTATGAATGAGTTGTGTTCCAGAAGTGGGCTGTTTGAAATTCCAAACACACTTTCCCAAAGAAACCATGTTATAAGGACTCTGGTACCAAATGAGCAAAGACCAGCCTTAGGTTTACTCATAAAATTCTCGGAGTGTATGTAGTATCTGCACTTAACTCCTATTTATAATAATTCTATGAGACAGCATTTTGAGTTCCAACTAAAAGCCCTTAAATCAGAAAGTGGAAAAGACTTAGAAATCTTTCCTTCCTTTTCCTTTTCCTCTTCTATGCCGTGTTTGCTAATGACATTAGTGCCATCAGTAGGTGTGGCTTATCCCCACATCTGTCACTCAGGGTTTAAAAGCATGTTGCCTTCAGGACAAGATAGTGCCTTGATTAACCACTAACATTTCTCACCATTTCAGGTTGAATTCTCTTACCCACCCCTGATTCCGGGAGATGGACATGCCAGCCATGCTGTACCTGAAGAATGGAGATATTTGCCCTTCCTTGCCTTGCCAGATGGTGCACACAATTACCAGGAAGGTAGGTGATAAGACAGTGGAATAATTAGTAGGTGCCATTTTTAAAGATGGGGATGGGGTAAAGGGCAGCCAAGAGGGAAGGGTGGGGAAGGAAAAGTAAAAAGGATCGAGATAAGATATGTAGGTGTACCAGTTTCCCCTGATCAATGGATTTCTTGTGTATCACAAACACATACTGATAAAATAAAAGCTTGCTAAGACAGCGGGGGACTTAGCTTGATGGTTCTGCCTGCCTCGCAAGCACAGGGTCCCGAGTTCGATCTCCTGTACCAAAAAAAAAAAAAGTTTGCTGAGACATCCTAAAGATTCTAAATACTTTGATAAAAGAAATATCTTGGCTTATTGGAACTATTTATAAAATATTGATGTGCTAGCCAGAGGTGGCACATACCTATAATGCCAGCTACTTGGGAGAGTAAAGGCAGGAGGCTCACAAGTTCAAGGCCAGTCTGGACAACTGAGCAAGACCATGTCTCAAGAAAGAGGGATGCTGGGGTTGTAGCTCAGTGCCCTAGGTTCAAACCCCTGTGCCACGCATGCCAGAAAAATACTGTTTGGAGATGGCTGGTCATGCGCTAAGAACCCTCCGGCGTGAATTGGCCGGGTGTGGTGATCCTCAGCCACCTCTGCAGGAGCCTCGCTAAGTAAGTCCAGAGCACCATGGCTGCGCTCGGAGCCCTCCTTCAGTCACACTGAACGCTGCTCTCAGAAGCACAAAGCAGAGGCTGCCTGCACCAGCTGCACCCTGCTTGAGCACTGGCCCCAGGCCTCCTGCGCTTGGTACCTCAGTGCCCACCCAGAAACGGGTGGGGTCGTTTCTCCACCTCCAGAACCAGTGTTGTCAGTGCCCTCCTCGCAAGGATGAGTACCTCAGAGAAAACAGTGCTGTGAAGTTCCTACTGAGCCTCCTCCTACCTTATAAATGAGTGCCGTGCCAGACTTCACAAAGGACTGTATCCTGCCATGGTATTAGAGGTTCCACCAAGTTAGAGTTGGCTTGATAACCTATTTTCCTAATATAGTATTTAATAATTTCCTTATGAAATAAATCAAATTGTTCCTATCCATTTTAAATATAGGCTTTATTTTTTAAATATAGGCTTTATAACCCCAGAAATCTTTTTTCTCCCTTTTTATTACAAAAGTTTTCAAAACTACAGAAAAATTGAATTGATTATAGCGAATTCTCATAGTTAACCTCTCAATGCTGAGACACGATACCTGACAGCCACAACTTAAAGGAGGAAAAATTTATTTTGGCTCACAGTTTGTAGAGCTTTCAGCCCATATTCAGCTGACTCCAAGGCAGGGTGGCATGGCAGAGAGGCATCACAGAGGAGCAGCAACACATGGTATAGCAAACAGGAACCAGAGAGACATAAAGAGAGGAGGAAAGAAGACACACTCTTCCAGCCCATGCCCCAGTGACCAGGTGCCACCTCCCAGCAGCACATTTAGCTATAAACTCACGTGTGGACTAATCTACCAGTGAATATTTCACCCTCATAATCCAGACCCTAACCCTAACCTTAACCCCCATGGTAACTTAAAATTTCATTATTAATAAGGGTAATTCACCTCAGTATTTATATTTTTTTGTGTATCTTTTAGATACTGTGTTTTTTCACTTGCCACCCAGAAATGGAAATGGAGACACAGTATATGGTATCTCTTGCTATCGACAAATTGAAGCCAAGGTATGGTAGTTAATGTGAACAACAACAGAAAAACTGCAGAATCTTTTCTTAGGTTTTGGTCACTTAGGGAAATGCATAGTTTGTATGTTTCATGTGGTGCCTGTGATGTTTCAGATTTTTATAATTTGTCACTGTTACTCCTATAGTACCAATTTATTCATGGTAATATTTTTATAAATTGACATTGGTGTCTATGATCATGTGGTGTATATTTTGTACAGTTTTTAGATAGTGATCCTCAAATTATCCCTTTGCTTTTAAATATTGTATTAAAGTTTCATATTATCTTTCACTTTTCTATTTCTAGTATTTGGTACTTGTGTTTGTCAGCTTTCCATCCTGTGACAAAATACCTGAGCTAATCAGCTTACAGAAGGAAAGGGTTATCCTGGCTCAGTGATTCCACGGTTTCAGTCCATGGCTACTTGCTTTGGGCCTGGGGGTCAGGCAGTGCATCAGGGCTGGAGTTGTGGCAGAGGAGGCTGTTCACCTCCTGGTGGCCAGGCAGCAGAGACAAGGGGCTGGGGTCCCAGAGTGCCCAGGAAGGGCAGTCCTCAGTGACCCAACTTCCTCCAGTGAGTTCCCACCCTTCAAAGTTCTACCACTCCCCACTGCACACAGGCTGAGACCAAGCCTTTCTCACGTTGGCCTCCGGGGACACTTACCCAAACCGTAGCACTTCCCTGAGAACAGTTAACTTTAGTGTTTATTTGAACAAAACAAAACAGAAACAGTTCACAAAGTGGGCAGCTCCCAGAACCAGAGCAGGTTCTAAGAACTCCTGCCAGCGAAATGATCAGGCAGCATTTTTAGAAAACAGAAGCGAGATATAGAAACTAGCCTATTTGGCCACAGCCTGGCCGTTCAACCACGCAGTTGGTTCTAGCTTAATATTAGTGAATTGGCTGTGGGGCTTCCTTCAGCACCTTAAGCTCAGTTACTGTGGTTAAACTCTGTATTGTCTGGTCTGTAGGTCTCAGCACAGGACCCCAGGGCAGATCAGTGGGAGGTCATTGATGCTCTAAAGTAGTGAGGACTTCTCAGCCTTAGCTCAAAGTTGGAATCAGCAAGGAGCTTTGAAAGTGAGAGTGACCAGGTCCCTGACAATGCTGAGCACCCAGGGGGTTCTAATGCGCACTCAGAATTGAGAACCACAGCTCTAGAGCAATAGTTTTTAATCAGAATTAGCTGGGGTCTTTTTTTTTTTTTTTTTCCCAAAATATGTGCTGTCTTTTCTCCTACTGACTGAATTAGTATCTCTGTTCTAGAGCCTGGGCAATCACTGGGTTCAGAAGCTTTCTCAGGTAGACATTTAACTTAGTAAATCTCTTTTCATTTTCTTCTCACTTTTTAATGAAAATTTCAACATGCAGGTATATCAAAAGAATGGAACGATAGGGTTAGGGATTTAGCTCAGTGGCACTGCACCTGGCTTGCAAACGTAAGGTCATGAGTTTGATCCCCAGTACCAAAAAAAAAAGAATGGTACAACAAACATGTGCGTACTCATCACGGAGATTCAACAATTCTGTGTGTTTGCGCGTGTGTGAATTATAAGTGTAAATTCTAGGATACCCAAAATCAGTTAATTCTATAGAATGAACAATCTAAAATTAGAGATATTACATCTCATTATCACATACACCTTAAATATACACAATCTTGTGTCAGTTATGCTTCAGTAAAATGGGGACTATAAAAGAAACCGACAGATAAAAGAAACCTGAGAATAAGATAGCTTAATAATTCTGTGCACTGACCTCTTCACATGCTATTACCTTTATATAATTATTTATGAAATAAATTGAGCTGCTGCCCTTTCTCAGAAATCAGCTCCTCTACTTCCTCTTATCCCTCATAGATCACATAGTAAAATTATTTCTTCCCCTCACAGCTGTTATCATTAACAGCAGTCCTCATGCCCTGTGTAGCTTTTAAATATTGCCTCTAACCCCTCCACCTGACCCACTCCAGAATATATGAGAGTTGCCCATGGCTTCAAGTTTTCCTAGCTATTCTGAGAAACAGAATAGATATACTGGACATGAAGAGGACCTAGGACCCCAGGAAAGAGTCTTTCATTCTCTTTGAATAAAGGCAGGATATAATGGATGGATCCACTCAAGAGCAAGTCTCTACTCTTGTCCCAGTTTAATGACCAGTTTGACACTGAGCCCCCTTAGTTCTCTGGGCAGACCAAGGAAATGTCAGGAAAAGTCATTTTTACTTCCTTCTCTGCCTTGTCTGAAATGGACCAAATCAAGGCTTGTTTTTACTAGCAGAGACCTGCAGAAATGTCACATACTGTCTCAGTTACTTTTCTTGTTGCTGAGACACAATACCCGATACCCACAAGTTAAAGGAGGCAAGGTTCATTTCAGCCCACAGTTTGTCGAGGTTTCAGTCCATAGTTGGTTGTGTCTAAGGCAAAGTAGCATGACAGAGGAGAAACAGCTCATGGCAGGCCAGGCAGGAGGCAGCGGCAGCAAGCAGCAGCCTGCTGTCCTCCTGTCCCTTTTATCCTGTCCAGGCTGCAAGCCTTTTGGGTGATGCCACCCACACCCATGGTGGACCTTCCCATTAACTACACCCAGAACTATGCTAAACCAGTCAGTGAACTCATTTAGTACCTCAGACCCTTAATCCCAGTGTCACACACCCTAGATCCAGCCACCTCCAAAAAGCCCCAGCTGTGAGTGCATAAGGCTTTGTGGGGATATCTAGATAGAAGCCGTCCTCACAGTCACTTTCTTTTCAAATACTATTTTCCTGTTGAAAATATGTTTTCTGCATATTGCTATGAAATATCTGATGTTGTCTGTTTGTTGGTAACAGGCACTGAAAGTAAGGGAAGCCGACATCACCAGAGAGACCGTTCAGAAAAGTGTGTGTGTTCTCAGCAAGCTGGTAAGGTGCCAGCTAATGTAGTAATAATTGAGATGTCAAGTATCACAGTTACTCAGATTTTAGTGATAATATAAAAGAAATTGATCACTATTGCATTGAAAAATTTTGTCCTTAACTTGCTCTTTAAATTTTAAAATGTTTGGTGAAACTGTACTATAATAATACTTCAAAATTGTGTTTCTTCTAGGTACAAGTTGATGCAAATGTATGATCATTTTTAAAAAGACAATAAATGACAGTCTTTGGCTTTCATAATGCAATAACATCAAATGTCTAATTGTGCATGTGAGATACAGTTCTCAAAATCCCCTTTGTGGGGAATAATCCAGATCTGTGTCATATTGTCTTACATGTATATGATTACCTTATCAACCATTTCCCTAGTTAAACCAAAACAGAATATTTTTTTAATCTAGTCACTAAATGTATATAGATTTTCATTATTTCTTCTACAATTGTCCATTTCCTCTGTCTACAGGCAATTTAAATGTACTTTGCATAATGGAGTTTTATAAGATTTCCAGTTTTGGTCTTTATTACTAAGCTAAAAAACTCAATAATAATAATAATTTAATACTGTGAGCCTTTATAAGATTTTGAGAATCAGAACGTTTCTTCAAGGTAGTAAGTAAATAGGACAAGAATATATTTTTCTAGAAAAAAACTGTTATAAAAACACCTTGTTATCAGAAAATTGATAGATTGCTAATCTGATTCCTATACAGAGTTTCTAGAAGGGTAACCTGAGAAATGCACATCAGTAAATTACTGTTTTATGTGGGCCAGAGACAAGAGCCTGGAACTGTTGGTTATGAAAGGAAGTGCCTTGTGTCCCCAAGTAATGATGTTTTGAAGGACAATTGTAACCCTAACAGAAGCCATTTCTAGGTCAGGCATTAATTCTATAGGCACTTTTGTATGTTATATAATTGTCATTTATTTGTATAACATTGAAATATGTTTACTATTCCCATTTTATAAAGACATACTTAATAGAATATCTAATTCTCATAGACATGAACTAAGTGATAAAACTGGGGTGAAATCTAGGGTTTGTTTGTTTGTTTTGAGACAGGGTCTCACTATGTAGTTCAGACTTGCCTCCAACTTGTAGCAGTCCTCCTGCTTCAGCTTCCTGAGTTGATGACATTACTGGTGTGCACCACCATGCCTGGCTGAAATCTAGTTTTATCTGTCTCTGAAACAGACACAGGAATGCGAAGAACTCACTCAAAAACGCCTGGTTGTTCATAGTGCATTGTAGTCTATATATAAAAATACAATAAATTTATATTTAGATGGTAATAATACATTATCATCAGGAATATTGGGGAGAAAACTATTCCAGTGTTACTTTTTTTTTTAACTAATTATAGTATATATTGGTCTCTGCATCCTAAAGAGGACATACAAATGAGAAAATACCTAGAAAAGATTAAAAGGATGGATATAGTAGAAGAGGACCTTAAGTAGAAATAAGAATTAAGGAAAATTAAGATGCACTATCAACTGGCAGTATACCTGTAATCCTAATCAGGAGGCTGAGGCAGGAGAATCTCAAGATTGAGGCCAGCCTGAGCTACATAGTGAGACTGTGTCTCAAAAACAAAACAACAAAAAGACACACTGTCTTGTCATGCACAGTGTGGAGAGGTTGAATGCCCAGAATTAGCAGCTGAGTGACGGACTAAGCCCAGGAGTCTCTCCATATTGCCAGGGCATCAGGCACCTCCTGTCTGCTGCCCCAAAGTGAAAGTAGTGACATCAGCTTCCACCCATAAGTGGTGAGGCCCTGAGAGTTGACAGTTACTCCTTGTTTCTCCTTGGCCTCTAAATTAAAACACGGTGGTTTGTGTTACTGTTATCAACTTAATAAATGGTAATTTCTCTTCCTTCAAGCCTCTCTATGGCTTACTTCAAGCAAAACTTCAGCTCATTACACATGCATATTTTGAAGAGAAGGACTTTTCCCAAATTTCCATTCTAAAGGTAACTTTATACTCCTTCATTGATGTATTTGGGTAAAGATAGATTAATGAATCAAGTGAATCTTGTCAGTAATTCTGTGAAATAGTTATAAGCTTAAAAAAGATGTTCTTAACTGGGCATGATTGTGGATGGCTGTAACACCAGCACCCTGGAGGATGAGGCAGGGAGATTGCAGGTTCAAACCCGGCTTGGGCAGCTTAGCAAGACCCTGTCTCAAAAAGCAAAGGCCTGTAGGGCTGGGGATTTAGCTCAGTGGTTCTGCCGCCTGCTTTGCAAGCCCAAGGTCCCGAGTTTGACCCCTGGTACCAAATAAAAACAAAGGCCTGAGCCGGGGATGTAGCTCAGTGCTCCCGGCACCTGCCTGGCAAGCGCAAGGTCCTGAGTTCGAGCCCCAGTACCAGAAAAAAAACAAAGGCCTGGGTTGTAGCTCAGTATGAAGGTTCTGGGTTCAATCCCCAATATCACCAAAAAAAATAGACATTCTTTGAAAATCCATTTACATTAAAATATTGAAGGACCATGGCTCCAGCAGGATACTTCTAAATTTAACCAAGCCAGGCATGGTGGTGTGCACCTATAATCCCAGCACTCAAGAGGCTGAGGCAGGAGGATTGCCATGAGTTCCAAGACCAGCCTGGCCACACAGTAAGATCCTGTCTCAAAAAACCAAAAATAAAAATAAATTTAACCAGACTGTCTACTTTAGGAAATACTGACTATAAACCACTTAAATAAGTGTTGTTCTTAATGACTAATAACCTTTTGCTATGGCATTGCTTCTGTAAATTTGTCTATCTAACCAGTAAGCTGCATAGGGTGCGTATTACTCATCGGGCTTCTGGTTCCTAGTTCCAATAGCCTGAAGCAGAGAGACCACATGATTACTTTCTGGAAGGTGGAGCACGTCCTTCCGAAGGCCATGCTCAGTGTGCAGAGCCTGGGACGCTCCTGGACGCTGGCCATAGTGGGACAGTTAGGGATGTGGTGAGGAAGCGGGGAAGGTACCCTGCTGGTTCACACCAGCTTGGGAAGGAATGCAGCAAGGTGAACAAGGCTGAGGAGGGAGGAAGGGAGTCCCTGAGGACTCTCCCCCTTCTGCCAGCTCTCTGGCACCACTCGTGTCTGGAAGGTAGGAAGTGAGGGCTGGAAGCTGGCAATGTCAGAGAGACCCTCCCTTGTCAAGGGCCCTCTGTTTTTTGATCATCATATTTCTAATTCAGTGTCAAAAATGATCTAAATTCAGTCTGTTTCGTAGGAGCTTTATGAACACATGAATAGTTCCTTGGGAGGAACTCCGTTAGAAGGGTCCCAAGTGTACCTTGGTAAGTAACTTTTGCACAGGTTAGAGGAGCTGCGCTCGTTTCTGTTCAGCTGAGTTGCATGTAAAATATGATGATCAGAATCCATGTCTCTGTTGGGACCTGATTCTTTGGTAGTCAGTGCTGCTGCTGCTTTAAAGATCCTCTAGCCCTGTTTATACCGAGAAGGTTTGTGATCCCATACTGGTTGCAACTTTCACAGATACTGTTGCACAGGGTGAATTTCTGCTTTTCAGAATATTGGAAGTTTATTCTCTTCGTTACTTTAATGCTGACCAGCTCAGTTCCCTGTAAAACAGAGGGGAAGAAGAAGAGAAAGCGAACTTCTCAATTACTTTAAGATTTTTTAGGTTAGGGATTTTGTTAAATTTATACTATCTTGACAACCTAGACTATCCTTTGGTGTCTAAGGAACTCAGAATCATCTTCATAATAAAACATTTTAGTCACACAATGATTTCTGCCCCCTCAATTCCTATTCCAGCACAAAGTAGCCAAATGGTGGAAGTTTACAGTTGCAATCCCGTGTGTAATGTGAGCTAGACAGAGAACACCTGTTCTGAGGACATGTTTTCCTCTACATTATTTGCTCTTATACTGTGAGGCAGGTGACTGGAAGAGACTGTGTTTCAGAAACAATAGCTCATGTAATCCAGTGACCAAAACCATACTTAAAGGATTGGCTTTGTAGACTGGAGGAGGGTGTTAGATCTGTAATAGCCAAACAGTAGCTACGAGCAATGTGTGGTCATCTGCATTTACATTGCGATTAATAGGGAGGGTGGGAGGATGGCAGAAAGATTGAGATGTGTCGTGCACATGCACCAGCTCCCTGTGAGGAGTCTGATCATTGTGCACAGCAAACGTGTTAATCAAAAATTGTTTAAAAAAATGAAAAGGGGGCCGGGGATTTATCTCAGCAGTTTCAGCGCCTGCCTTGCAAGCCCAAAGTCCCAAGTTCCATCCCTGGTACAAAAAAATAAGTAAGTAAATAAATAAATAAATAATGAAAAGGAAAGAAATCCCTAAAAATTAAATACAGTTTAATTTTTGTGGGTCACACTTGGCCACATTTCCATTAGATGGGGCAGGTTTAAAACATTTGTATCCTTGCAGAAGGTTCTGTTGGACAGCACTTTCTGAGCATGTGTATTTAAGTAAATATTTGAATATTTGCATATTGTTTTCTTTTTTATATTCCCTCCCTAACTTTGAACAAAAATAGTCACAGATGAGCTTTTTGTTCATATTGTAGGTCTGTCTCCTCGAGATCTTGTCCTTCATTTTCGACACAAGGTACGTATGATACCATAGTATTTGAGATCTAAAATGATGCCTCAGTGCTTGTGACATACTAAAATGATAATGATGCTGCATTGCTTTTAGGAGCAAATCCAGTGTGCTGCATCAGCTGCAGATGATCCTTGGTTTCACAACTATACGAAGTTGAAAATGTCAGGCGTACTAGTGTCAGACATTTATAAGACTACAAATACAATTTGTCTACTTATTGAAGGATGGGTTTTTTTCTGTTGTCTTTCTAGTTTCAGCTATCATAGGATTAGAGGAGAAGGAAACATGTTTTGATATTGTAAAAATTTTGTTTTTGGTACTGGGGATCGAACTCAGGTCCTTGCGCTTGTACAGCAGGCGGCGAAACCACTAAGCTAAATCCCCGGCCCATATTGTAAAATATTTTTATGCTGCCCTAAGAATAGAACATTTTCCAGTAAAATACCTGTCCTTATTCCTCTGATCTTTGTCTTTCGGTCTGCTTTGGTTTTGGTGCTGGGAATTGTGCTTTTTCTTGTTAAAGCATACATTGACTGGGACACAGTGAACCAGTGAGGGCAAGCCTTTCAGAGACCAGATGCCAAACAGCAGCCCCAAACCCACTTATTTATTGCAAGGTGCCAGCACTGAGGTTCAAACTGAATAGTGAGGTTTGAGTTTAGAAAAAACCACCTCATACATTAATATCTTTTGTCTTGAAAGAAAACCATGATAATAGAGCTTTCAGTGATACAAACTGCTTTTCATTGAAAGGTGAAAGTTTGCATTTTGCGTGCTTTTGCACAATTAAGGTGATCTTGCAGTTGTGTGCACACTGATACTTTGTCAGACCTTGGCTCATACCTTGTAGTTTGAGAGCAACACATGCAGCGCTAACGTCATCTGTCAGTTTCCTGTATCAGATTTGATAGAATTCAAAGCTGAAAACAGGCTGGGGATTTAGCTCAGTGGTTCTGCTGCCTGCCTCGCAAGCACAAGGTCCCAAGTTTGATCCCCAGTACAAAAAAAAAAAATTTGGCAGAGAATTCCACACTTCAAGGATTTCATTTTCAGAACTACTAACTGTGCTGTCCTCTGTCCTCCCTTCATACTCCATCTTCTCGAGTGTTGCATGCAGGTCACAGTTTATTTTTCCAGATAGAGCTTTCTTAAAATTCTAATAGCTCCATTTCTAGATTTCCAAAATCTCACCAGTGTAAGCAGAAAAGATCAAGTTCTTCAAATTTGCCTTTATCTGGAGAAGAAAATACAAGGTTATCTCCATCTTACACTGTAAAAATCTATTACTAAAATTCTCCTTTGCACCTATTAAAATGCTAGAAGATTCCATCTAGATTTCCTGATGGCTTGTAGGATTGTCTACAAATGTTGCAGAATTTTCTAAGTGCATTTTTAGATTTGGAAAATATTTCAGCTGTTCACTTTCAAGATCTATTTCAAAAACTTGCAGTTTTCTCCCAAATGTTTTGATATCACAAAATACCTTTCTGCTGTTCTCCCTACACATTGTAGATTTCGATCTTAGGTCTTCTGACAAGAAAGCCTCCATCACAGAACTGTAGGTGTCTATCCCTTGTGTGCTCAGGCAAAGACACCAGTTGCACCAGCTCTTCTCTCATAATGTCACCTACAGCATAACAGAGAGTCACTGCTAGCCTTGCATGATCATTTGTATCTCCACTTACATCCAAGCACATGGAGTACCTGTAAGTCAGTGGTGAGCTGCTGACTAGCATCACTTGCCATGCACAGGACTCGATCTTTCACAGTATTTGTAAGTGGCATCTCAAGATACATTTGCATAATTTTATCTTTGTTTGGGAAATCATGAAAAAGGGAATTACTCCCGGACAACATGGCCATTTTGATAAAATCCCCACCAGAGAGGGGCTTACTATGTTTTGCTATACACAGTGAAATTTGAAAGCTGGCAGCTATCACATGATTTGTTTTAGAAAGATAGTTGCAAAAGCTAAGATACTGGAAATGCTGTTCCTCAGTTTCCCTTTAAGAAACTCTCCTTGGTTGATGTCAAAGTGGCGCCTGACACTTGATGTATGACACAACATTTTCAATACACAGACTACATAACGCTTTCCCATTGTATTCAGTCACTCCACATGACCCTGTCCAGGCCTCTGGGAATGATCTTCCACTGTCTGTTTTCAGTTTTGCTCTTTTTGTTGTCATTTTTTTAGTGTTCAAGACTTGGAGTCTACAAAAACAAAAAAAAATTTTTTTTAAATGAAGCACCCAATACAAATCTATCCCTATACCAGAAGCAGCTAACACTGTTAGCGAACACTAAAGAATTGGAGCTGGATGTGGTGACTCACGCCTGTAATCCCAGCACTTGGTAGGCTGAGGCAGGAGGATCACTGTGAGCTGAAGGCCAGCCTGGGCTGCATAGTGAGTTGAGGTCAGCCTGAATTACAGAGCAAGACCCTGTCTCAAAAAAAAAAAAAGAATTGGCTATTCCTTGAATCAACAGTCTGCTGCAGTGATTCTCAGCTGGGGTTCCTCTTTAATTTGCTGACCACCAGTGCAAGGGGACAGTGTTCCACTGAGCAGCTCTTGGCCTGCTCTGGAAAAGGCATCTGAGTGCCTTTCCTACCTTGTGGGGCTTCTGCTGAGATCACAGCCGTCCAAGCAAAAACGTATCCCCTTGCTCCTGTTTTCATACATTATTCATGAACAAATAAACACGATGCTGCAGATCCAAATAGGCAGGGGTACGGCATAGCATGAACAGACTCTGTCTCTGGATTAGAACGTCTCTGCTAAATCCTACATACTCAACTTCAGTTTTTCATACGTAAAGAAGCTAAAGTCTTGTGTTGATAAAAATGATTAAAACTCAGACCCTGGGCTGGGGATTTAGCTCAGTGGTTCCACCGCCTGCCTCGCAAGCACAGGGACCAGAGTTCGATCCCCAGTACCAAAAAAAACCCTCAGGTCCAATGCAACCATATATAATGTATACTATATGTATTGTATATAAGTGTATATTATGATATATAAGTATGTCATATTATACATGGTGTTATATAATTATATATCGTGTACAGGTCATATATTGGATATTATATCTGTGGTGTTCCATATGATAATATAGACATATGCCATATGCCGACTGTTCCTGCCTGTGGCATCACTGCCTTGTGCCACCACCCCTTCCTGAGCATGCACGTGGCCACTCATTGTGCTGGTAGCCGCTGCTCAGCTGCTGGGGCGACTTAGCTCGCCTGCGGACAGAGAGGGCTCTGCATGCCCACTGTGTCACATGTGCCATAGGTTTGCCACGACTGCATTAGACATTTATTAGGTACCTGTCGTGTGAATGCCCTGAACATCCAAAAATAAGTGAATGATCCCTGCCCTTTAAGGTATTGTTTCAAGCAAAGATAGCACTATACTCCAAAAAAGATAATTCAATTAGAGATTTAACTGACTGTCACTTTTTTTAGAGAATACAGGTAATGTTTAATTTCTTAGTATAAGTTTATGGTTTTCCTGTCTTTTAAGATGCTATAATTGGGCCGGGGATTTGGCTCAGTGGTTTCACCTCCTGCTGCGCAAGCGCAAGGACCCGAGTTCGATCCCCGGTACCAAAA